CATGAGAGAGACGGGGGGGGTGGTGGCGGTGGAGGGCAGAGACATAGGCAGAGGGAGAAGCAGGTTTCCCATGGGGATCCACATCTGGGACTCAATCCTGGATCCTGGGATCATGACCTGAGCCTAAGGCAGCCGCCCAATCACTGAGCCACCCAGGCATCCCAGAAAATAACCTTTTGTTAACATTCTTCAAATTAAAAACAAGGTGCATGAAGAACAAAGCAAAATCATATTCAATAGGAATAATTTCCTCTACTAACTATGAATTCAGGTTTCAGAAATATAATTTACTTCTTGCTTTGATTAACACAACTACTCTGCTTAATTATTCTTGCTTAGTTATTCCAATAGTGATGATAGTGTCCCAGCACATAGTTGAGTATGTGGGATAAATTAGGAACTAAGTAATTCTTACATAAATGAACAAACCATAAATCTCTAGGAAGAAAGACAATAAATCTACTCTTTCTTCATATAGGTTTTGTGTCAGGGTAATAATTATATGGCCTGAAGGCCTCACTTTGACAATGCTGTATTTTTATCTAGAGATGAAGTTTAGCTGGTACAGGGCTCTCATTTGTTCAATCTATATACCTTTTATTATCTAGGAGAACTTGATTTAATCACTGAGTGTAAAATCCCAATTAATAATCTCTTTCAGAGTAGTAACATTTTTAATGGTATGAAACTAAAAGAATTTATGTTATTTTTGGAGATTATAAGGCTGACAAGTAAGAATAACTCTGTGCCCCACTTTAGGTGATTTGTCTATCGTAGGAGTTAGCAATCTAGCCCCTGTGTTTTGTAAGAATAAGTTAACTAACAAATATTCAGGGAATATATATTGAGTCTGCGGCCTGAGCCAGATGGTCCCTGCTAGGAAGTATTAAGGAGTATAAGATGTAGACATCTAAACACTTGGAGATGACCACGTAGCCAGATTATTTAAAAAAAAATAAAATGTCTCAAGATCGAGGGGGCAATGAGACATAAGAATGAAACTTTCAAGAAAGCAACTTTATAAATGTTCCCACGTGGAATATGGATATGATAACTGGAACTACAGCAGTCATTCTGAGACTATAAGGGGGTGTTGAATACAGTGATATGATCAAATGCTTAAGTTTAGGAAGGAAAAACACCCCTGGAGATCATATGGAAAAAGGGTTACAGAGAAGAACTTTGGATTATATTTTCTCTGTATATAAAAACTAGTGAAGCCTGATATCAATGTGTTATAGAATCAATAAAATAATTAAGGTTAGAATGAATCTTAAAGAAGCAATGTAAACCGCCACCCTCTGTTATACTGAGGGTATAGAAGCTTTCCTCTTTCCACATATTCCCCCACTGGAGGATCTCCCACACTAAAAACTTGAAATTCTTTTAGTAGAAGTTAAGGCCTTTTGTTCATTTCACAAATACAGATAAAGACTAAAAGTAGATGCCCCGAGGAATCAATGCACTGAGTTAAAATCATGTCAGGTTATAAAATGCAGGTATCATATTCATGCCTGAGATCCAGTTTTGATGGGCACTGTGAGAGGAAAGCAGAAGGGTACTTAGTACCTGTAGTAAAAAGAAATTATAGTGTGTGTGTGCAGTGGAGTGGAAGGTGTGGATGCAAAAAAGAAAGGTTAAGAGCATTACAAACAAACTATTATTTCAACATTTTGTCCTTGGGGTGGTTCTAGAAGAGGAAATGCAGAGAGAAAATATTCTGTTAGTAAATACTAGGAAATCCAATTTAATGATTACTTCTTGCTAAACCATAATATTCATAACAAAAACTATAGATGCAGAATAAGAGAACTGTAGATGCTAAAGAGTATCAGAAAGTTAATCTCATAGCAAATTTTGGGATAAAATATTTACCTCCTGAGTAACTATATTAATAGAGAGAAATGATATCAATAATATAAAACAATAAAAATGTTTGTATAGTTTGAGAGTAAAATATAGCAGTATATTTTCACTTTTGTGTTGTGAATGAGATTTCCTGCAAATTTGGGTACAGTTATTATCTTATAAAAAGAAACAGGCTTGGGATGCCTGGGTGGCTCAGCATTTGAGCATCTGCCTTTGGCTAAGGGCATGATCCCAGAGACCCTAGATCAAGTCCCACATCCGGCTCCCTGCATGGAGCCTGCTTCTCCCTCTGCCTGTGTCTCTGCCTCTCTCTCTCTCTGTGTCTCTCATGAATAAACAAAAAATCTTAAAAAAAAAAAAGAAAGAAAGAAAGAAACAGGCTTATTTATTTCCATGCTTACCCTCCTTTCCTACCCAGTTCCAAGTTCATCCTGGTTTAGGCCTGTGGTTGATGTCACAGGAAACATCTGCCTTAAGCAGATCTGAAAGACCTGCCCATCCATCAAAAATCCTTTCCACTACCTTGCTATGGTAACTGAAAATTCCAGCAATAGTTATTTCTCCTCAATGAAGTAACCAGGAGCCATTTAGTAGGCAACTGCTTTTACTAGGAGTAACTTTATGCCAATTCCACCTAGAAACATGTTGACACACTTAATTTGTCAGAATGGCTAGACAGTCCTTGAAAATGTCCTCGGCAAATAAGCTGTAGGCTGGCTAAGTCTTGATATGAGAGGGAGGGAAAAGAGGGACCTAAAGAGGCCTGCCACAGGAGAAAAAGCCACATTAGGAATTCACTTATGGGTTCCGAGAAATTAGTTTTTGGTGTAGAGGAGAAGGGGCAGGCATTTCAAGGAAGTTAGTGAATACCCAAGGGAGTGGTGGAAAATTGATGACTGTTTCATATAGAGACCCTTTAACTTAGTTACGCTGTCATCTCTTGGACAGCAGAACCAAAAGCATGATAGACAAAAGGTAGGAATCTAATAGAAGGCGAGAAGACAAAAGATCAATTTAGATGACCCACAGAGCAGCTAAAAAGGTCAGTTTTCATTTTAGTCTGATGACAAAAGTAAACAGCACAAAATCATAAAATGTTAGATTTTTAAATTAAACATTTGCTCATTTTATATTTAAAATAATAGCTATGCTAAAATATTTATCAAATTAAATGTAATGGGGTATTCCAAGATTATATTCTGGAACAGAAAAAGGTTGAAGAAGTAATGAGATCAAATAAAGTCTGTAGTTTATAGCATTGTGCCAACCTAAATTCCTTAGTTTTGACAAACAGTTGTATGTTAACATTAGGGCAAGCTGAGTAAAGGGTACATGGGAACTCTTTGGGCTCTCTTTGTAACTTCTCTGTAAATTTAAATTTATTCCCCAAAAATGCTTATTAAATTTTATTAGAATAGCTCTAGTCTATACTAAAACACTTTTTTGAAATCAAATTGCGAGTTATGCCAATGGTTCATTTGGGCCTATCATGCCTATTCCACAAAATTCTCTAGTGCCACTGAGTGTAATATAGTTTGCCTACACTCTCATCTTTTGAGCAACCATGGAGAAGGCATTCTGTTTCTCAACTGCAGAGACAGTGACAGGTTCATCCAATAATGACCTCTGCATCAAGTCTGGATGATAACCTCGGGCCATTACACCTCACGTTCATGTCTGCCGCACATTTTACAGGCGACGGTTCACAGTTCACAGTTTCTTTTACTGCCTGATACCCGGAGCTGTAATAAATACCTCAGGCTCTGACTCTGTTTTGTCCAAGGTAAATATACTTTCTCCTTGGTTTATAGTACCTGATGTTCCTCTGGATTTTAGGATGTTTTAATACCATGTTCTCATTTATTTTTCATTTGCTGTTATCATCACACGTATAGATGACGGGAAAGAGAACAATTTAGGCTTGTGTCCACTGTTAAGGAAAAAATACTTAGAAAATAAACAAATAGATTGGGCTTAACACTCCTCTGACAGCAAGAGACCAAGTACAGATGACAATTTAAATGGCAGCACGGAGCGGCAGGACTAGGCGTCTACAGACTAACAGCCTAACGTTCTCATGACTTCTCACAGGCTCATCGACAATCACAGCTTTACTGACCGGTGGGGGAAGAGCGAGGTTTCCGTAGCATCAAAGCAACAAGACAGGACAGGGATATTTTTCACACTTTGTATTTCTAAATAAACCCTTTCATAAAAGGGGTGTGTGTGTGTGTAGAAATATGAAAAGGATTCCAGAAATGAAGAGTCTGAGTGGTTAACAAGGATCCCTGTAAAACTGGCCGGGGGGGTGCACGGCTGCCAACTTGGCTGTGGACTTTTTCACCGCCCGAGGCCTGAGGGAGAGGCGGGCGGCGGGGCGGACGGCGGGGCGGACGGCGGGGCGGACGGCGGGGCGGGGCGGGCGGCGGGGCGGCCGCGGAGGTGGCCGCTCTCCGCGGGTGCTGCCCCGGCTGCCGCGGAAAGGTACGCTTTTTAATTCTCACAAAGGTGCACTTTACAAGCGAGGTGGAGAAAGATCCAGGTCTCCCCGCCTCCACGAAGCTACCGTCTGACCGACGGTTGACGACAAATGTCCTTCCCACTAGACACCGTGAAGTTGTTTCGGACCTCAAAGTCCTGATATTTGTGTCCCAAGTTTTAAATGCACGGCCTCCGAGCATCTACTAGAGATTACTCAGCCCGTCCGTGGACGAACAGGCTCTTTTTTTCGCACGTGAATTGGTGACTTTCGCGCGTCCTGCTTTCTGGTCTGTTGGCGGTTCTTTTGGTTTTTCTCCACCTGGTGAAGGCTGTGCTGTGGTACTTTTGGTTTCCTCCATCAGCGCCAGAATTCCTGCAGTCTCCCGTGCCATCCCGTACAAAATGTTAATTCCGCAGGTGTCCACTCCGCCCTCGACGGTCCGTTTCCGCAGTGCGCCTCAGCACTTTTCGGTGATTTCCGCTGCTTCACGCCTACACAGAAATCAGCTTTTCTCACCTACCCCCAAGGGCCGCCGCTCGGCGCCTGCGCCTATCCGCCGGAGGTCACCATACGGCGCATGCGCCGTCCCTGCGGCTGCGGGCGAGGGAAAATAGTGTCGACGGCCCGTGGTGACGTAGAAATTCCGCGCGTTACCTGACTGTGTTCACCTTCCGCGGGCGTGAGTCCTGGCCTGTCGCGGTGATGGTGCACTGCAGTTGCGTGTGGTTCAGAAAGGTCCGTGACTGGTGTTTCTCATCCTAATGCCTAGAGCTTGGTGCCTGTAGGCCCACCTGAGCGCTCTGGTTCCCCTTTCCGACCCTTTTTTTTTCTTTCCGAGGGCCTCTTTCCTCCTTGGCTCTACTGTATTTGTCTCTTCTTTGTCGTTCCAGCAGTCAGGTTTGGCCCCTGAGGGGTGAGAAGAGTCTACCTACCTGGCACGGCTTAGAACGGTTATTTGGGGTCTAGAGTTTGAGGTTTTTCAGGGAAATTGTGTGCACGTGGGATGGGGAGCTGGAGAAACCCGCCTGCCTTTAGACTGTGGATTAGACAAGCTCAACCATTGAGCCACCCGAGTGCCCTGAAAAAAAAAAAAAAAAAAAGGAGAGATCTTAAGAGAGTTAATCAAATGGGAAAGGGAGGTCAGAACAGAGGCGAATTAAGAAAAAAAAAATACGGATTTGACACAAGCCACCGCTGGGTGGCTCAGCGGTTGAGCGTCTGCCTTTGCTCTGGGCGTGAGCCCAGGTCGGGGATCGAGTCCCACGTCGGGCTCCCTGTGAGGAACCTGCTTCTCCCTCTGCCTGTGTGTCGGCCTCTCTCTGTGTGTCTCATGAATGAATAAAATCTTTTTTTTTTTTAAAAAGTGACATTCAGAAAGACCATATTATTTTAGGAGCGATTAGAAAGGAGTGACAAACGATTAGAAAGGAGTCCTAAGTTGGTAAGCATGTTTGATATACAAATGATCTCTTTCTCTCTCTTTTTCTAAGTATGGAAACTTCATTGATAACCTAAGAGTCTTCACCAGGGGAGGAAGTGGTGGTATGGGTTACCCTCGTTTAGGCGGAGAAGGTGGAAAAGGTGGTGACGTCTGGGTCGTAGCCCATAAGAGAATGACTTTAAAACAACTTAAAGACAAATATCCTCAGAAACGGTTTGTGGCTGGAGAAGGAGCAAATAGTCGGTAAGTATTTACTGAATGATTTTTATTTTAGAAAACAAATCCGTCCCAGAGGAAAAAAAAAAAAAGATCAAAATTTAATTGGTAATTGGAAGTAAATTATATATTCTGTATTTGTAACTGAGCAAAAAATCTACAGTAATAGTCTCAACTCTAGCAAAGATAAAAGGTAGATACTAAGGATTGTTTTGGAGTTTTGTTGTTTTGGAGTTTTTAGCCATTTTTATCCTTTTCTATTCTCAGTGTCTGTTTATATACTTTTGCACTTCTCTGTGAAAACAAAATGATCTGAATCTCCACTATTTTCCTCTAAAATTAATTTTTTGGCAATCTTTAGGAAGCCTTTTTCAGATTTCAACTGTTCTACCTACCCCACCATCCCCAGTAGTTCTGCTGGGATCTTAAGATGTAGAACCTGTTTCACGGATACGTTCCTTGTGTATTTTCCTTTGGCTTGTTTTGGTCTTCTCTCTGTGATGTCAAAACCTTCCCTCTATTTTTTGTAAATTTTTGTTATTTTTTATGGGACATGTTATGCTGCCCTCATGAAAAGAACTTTTTCTTTCATTACAACGAAATTGAAGAAGAATCTTACTTGGTTATCTATATTTTGGAAGTGTTGCTTGAACCAAGTCTTGAAAGAGGAATGGGACTTTGCCAGACAATCAAGGCAGGAAAAGGTGCTTTGGCAAGTGTACAACATTTATAAAGGCAGTGCATTAGGGAGGAACAAAATGGTGAAATAATACTTCTAGCATAATTGTGGTACAAATGGGGAGGCTTATTTTAAAATAAAGTCATTGTAGTCCAGATAGTGAAGATGAAGAGCCTAATATACTGTGTTAGAGTTTGAGGATCATCTTAGAGTGATGGGGAGCCATTGAAGGATTTCAAATAGGCAAGTGACATTAATTAGTGTCAGAAAAACCATTCTAGGCATAATTAGGTTAAAGAATGGGTTACAGGTGTTGATTGAGACCAGAGACAGAAGAACAATTTGGAGAATATTGCAGTATTTCAGAAGTGATGAAGTTTACGGTGTCTGGCCTCGACCCATCCTAGTTTCATCTCCTTCTACATTCTGTGTTTTCTGCATTCCAGCCAAATTGGCTTTCTTTTAGTATCTTATATTGGTATTTGTCTTCTATCACTGGCCTTTATTTGTGTTACCTTTTCTGTAATGCTTTTCCCCCTCCTTCATCCAGCTGCCTGCTGTGAATCCTTTAGATTTAAGCTCAAGTCTTTCCTGATCTCCCTGATTAGGTCAGAATTCCCAAATGAACTTAAATGTGTGAATTCTAATTCATAAGACTTGGGCAACCCAGGTGGCTCAGGGTTTAGCACCGCCTTCAGCCCAGGGCCTGATCCTGGAGACCTGGGATCAAGTTCCACGTCAGGTACCCTGCATGGAGCCTGCTTCTCCCTTTGCCTGTGTCTCTGCCTCTCTGTTTCTCATGAATAAATAAATAAAATCTTTAAAAAAAATTCATAAGACTTATCACAGTTAAAATTTTCCATTTATTCATGCATCTGTTAATGTCTTCTCTCTTGAGGTCCATGAGGGCAGGGAGCATTAATAGATTAGATCATCGTTTTCTTCCCAGATATCTAGTACAGTGATTGGTACATAGTAGGTACTCAGTCAACATTAGTTGAATAATGATTAGATTGACAGAAATGGATGGATTAGAACTATATTTAAGTAAAATAAATAAGACTTCATGATTGATGGAGTATTGAAAGAGAATGATAAAGGATGACTTCCTGGTGTTGACTTGAGTAGTGGCTAGATGATAGTATCATTCTTTGAGAAGGATTACGTAGAAAGTGGCAGCTGAGATGTAGAAGAAGAGAGCTTAAATGGCCCTTGGAGATGTCAGCAAGCACTTGAAATATGGGTCTGTGATTCAGGAATATGGTCAGGTCTAGAAATAAATTTGTTAATCATAAATGTGATTCATGGTTCATAAGCATGAACCAGGGTAGGTGCATTGCAGAAAAAATTGAGAATCAAATTCTGTTATTCACCAACATTTAAGGAAAAGAAACAAGTGTGCTCTAAAGTAGCCAGGAGAGGGGATCCCTGGGTGGCTCAGCAGTTTGGTGCCTGCCTTTGGCCCAGGGCGTGATCCTGGAGCCCCGGGATCGAGTCCCACGTTGGGCTCCCGGCATGGAGCCTGCCTCTCCCTCTGCCTGTGTCTCTGCCTCTCTCTCTCTCTCTCTCTCTCTCTCTCTTTCTCTGTGTGTGTCTATCATAAATAAATAAAATCTAAAATAAAATAAATAAAATAGCCAGGAGAGACAGTGTCATGGGAGCCAGGGAAGAATTTAGAGGAGGAGGAGGTAACAGTTTTATTTGTCTTGTGGATTTCAGGTAAATTAAGCCAAGAAGTTGAATAAACTTACTGACGGCCAGAGTTTGAATGAATTATTTTATAGTTTAATGAATTATGCCTTCATATGTCTGTGTTTGGGTCCTACAAGAAGTAGGTACCACAGTAGGATTTGATGAATAAGAGATTTATTGGGAAAACACTTGTAAAGGCAAATTGCGGAGGGACCTGAAGGAAGTTGGGAAAGTTGTCTGACCACTGTGCAAGTTTAAACCTTATGAAAGAGAAAGGGAAGGGCAAAGGTTTAGTCCACTGTGCAGTTCTAAGAAAGTTTAGACAAAGAATGAGACTCTTGGATCGATGAAATTGAGCTTTTATTTTCATTTTGTACTAGTAACAGAGATAGTGTCTATTTTATTCAATTCAGCACACTCTTTTTGAGGATCAAGTATAAACAAGGTATTAAAACAAGATCTTACATGTAGGAGACTCAAAGATGAACTCCTACAATGGAGCATGGTATATCATGCTGTGATTTTTTTTTTTTTAAGATTTTATTTATTTATTCATGAGAGACACAGAGAGAGAGGCAGAGACACAGGCAGAGGGAGAAGCAAGCTCCATGCAGGGAGCCTGATGTGGGACTCGATCCTGGGACTCCAGGATTATGCCGTGGGCCAAAGGCAGGCGCTCAGCTGTTGAACCACTCAGGCTGCCCTATCATGCTGTGATTTTAAGATACTGCTTTGTAAGTTTCAGTGCAAAAACTTTGTATAAGTTACTTAAAATCATAAATGATTGATTTGAGAATAGATTGGTATTTTAACTTTTTGAAATACGTTTTTGGAGCTTAATATTTAATACAAGGGAGTTTTTTTTATGTACTGATATCTGTATATTGCCTCATTTATCCCCCATTTTACCCCAAGAATGTGCTTTCCAACCAGTCTGTGTCCTTACCCAAAGAACCAGGCTTTATCAGTATAGTCTCACCCCTCACTCTTAAACCCACCTCTCCCCATTTTCTGTTTTTCAAACAAAGCTCACTTAATTCCATATAAAGAGATTTGTTCCATATTGAATATAAATCTTAAGTCCATTCTTTCTTTTTCTTGAAAGATTTGTTCATGTGCTTTAGTTTTTGGGAGATGAAAAAGTTAATCATAGGAACAAGACCTCAGCTATTAGACTTCCTTTTAAGTGCTCTCAACTAGTGTTTTTAGACTGTCTTTCAATTCTTTAATGTGGTACTTTCGAACCATGTTTAGTGTCGTCTATACTGAGAAACATTTTACTTTTCTACCCAAATATGTATGTTATCTCTATTTTCTGTCCTGTGGTATATCATACATTTTTGTTTTCCTTTATTTTGGGAAAATATACCTAACGTGAAATTTTCCATTTTAATGTGTACAATTCTGTGACATTGTACAATGTTGTACAGCAATCACCTATCTTGTTATAAATGTTGATTGTGACTGCATTTTTTTTTTTAAAGATTTTATTTATTTATTCATGATAGTCACACAGAGAGAGACAGAGAGGCAGAGACACAGGCAGAGGGAGAAGCAGGCTCCATGCACCGGGAGCCCGACGTGGGATTCGATCCCGGGTCTCCAGGATCGCGCCCTGGGCCAAAGGCAGGCGCCAAACCGCTGCGCCACCCAGGGATCCCTGTGACTGCATTTTGAAAAATACCGCCTTAGGGTTATAAAATCAATTTGTTAGATTTCATATAAAAAATAGAATAGGAAACATTAGCATGTAGCACATGCTATGGTTTCACAAAACTTTAAAGTCATATATATATATATATATATATATGAACTTGTGTATGTGCATATGTATACATATATATGAATGACTGTATTATTTCTTATTGAGTTGCAATTGAAAATTGAAAACTACTGCTTTGAAGAAGCCATACTTTCAACATGTGAATACCTTTAAGGTGTTCAAGATCTGTATAAAATAGTCTGTTCCCTCAAATATAAAATAGGGATAATAATAGTATATGTTTCTCTTTGAAAATATTAATAAAATTGGTAAACCCTAGCCAGACTTATGAAAGAGAGAAAGGACCCAAATAAATAAAATCACAAATGAGAAAGGAGAAGTAACAACATCCCAGAAATACAAACAATTCTAAGAGAATATTATGAAAAACTATATGCCAGCAAATTAGACAACCTGTAAGAAATGGATAAATTCCTAGAAATATATAAACTACCAACACTGAAACAAGAAGAAATAGAAAACTGTTAACCAGCAGAGAAATTGAATCAGTAATGAAAAAACTAACAGAAGTCTATAGACAGATGGCTTCACAGGTGAATTCTACCAAATATTTAAGGAAGAGTTAATACCTATTCTTCTCAAACTTTTCCAAAATATAGAAATGGAAGGAAAAATTCAAATTCATTCTATGGGGACAGCATTATCCTGATACCAAAACCAAAGACTGCACAAAAGAAAACTAAGCCAATATGCCTGATGAACATGGATGCAAAAATTTTCAGTAAAATACTAGCAAATCAAATCCCACAATACATTAGAAGAATCATTCATCATTCACCATGATCAAGTGGGATTTATTCCTGGCCTTGAAGGGTGTTCAGTATTTGCAAATCAATAAATGTGATATACCACATTAATAAAGGAAAGGATAAGAAATAGATGCAAAAAGAAAGCAATTTTACAGAGTACTACATCCATTCATGATAAAAAAAAAAAAAAGCCTCAACAAAGTAGGGTTAGAGATAACATAACATCATAAAAGCCATATACAAAAACCCCACAGCCAGTACTGTCCTTAATGGGGAAAATCAGAGAGCTTCTACCATCAGGAACAAGACAGGGATATCCAGTCTCACTCCTGTCAGTTAGCAGAGTACTAGAAGTTCTAGCCACAGCAATCAGACAACAAAAAGAAATAAAAGGCATTCAAATCAGCAGGAAAGAAATCAAACTTTTACTATTTGCAGATGACCCAGTCCTCTGTAGGAAACCTCTAAGACTGTACCTAAAAACTGCTGGAACTGATACATGAATTCAGTAAAGTCACAGAATACAAAATCAAGGTACAGAAATCTGTTGCATTTCTGTATACCAATAATGAAACAACAGAAAGAGAAATCAAATAATCCCATTTTTAATTGCACCAAAAACCATAAGATACCTAGGAATAAACCTAACCAAAGAGGTAAAATATTTGTATTCTGAAAACTGTAAAATACTGATGAAAGAAATTGAAGATGACACAAAGAAATGGAAAAACATTCCATGCTCATGGATTAAAGAATGAATAATGGTAAAATGTCTATATTACCCAAAACAATATATGCATTTGATGTAATCCCTGTCAACATACTAACAGTATTTTTCACAGAGCTAGACCAAATAATCCTAAAATTTGTTTGGAACCACAAAGGACTCCCAATAGCCAAAGCAATCTTGAAAAAAGAAAGGCAAAGTTGGAGGCATCACAATTCTGGACTTCAAGTTATATTACAAAGCTGTAGTGATCAAGTAGTATGGTACTGGTATAGAAACAGAGACATAGGTCAATGGAACAGAATAGAAAACCCACATATGAACCCACAACTATAGGTCAGTTCATCTTGGAAAAAGCAGGAAGGAGTGTCCAATGGGAAAAAAGACAGTCTTTTCAACAAATGGTGTAAGGAAAACTGAACAGCAACATGCAAAATAATTGAAATAGGACTACTTTCTTATACCATGCACAACAATAAATTAAAAATGGATTAAAGACCTAAATGTGAGACAGGAAACCATTAACATCCAAGAACAGAGGCAGTAATCTCTTTGACATTGGCCATAGCAACTTCTTACTAAATTATCTCCTGAGGCAAGGAAAAAAAAAAGCAAAAATGAACTATTGAGACTTCATAAAAATAAAAAGCTTGATGAAGGACACAGTCCACAAAATTAAAAAGTAACTTACAGAGTGAGAAGGTATTTGCAAATGACATATCTGATAAAGGATTAGTATCCAAAATATGTAAAGACCTTCTAAAACTCAACACTCAAAAACCAAATAATCCAGTTAAAAAATGGGGAGAAGACATGAATAGACATTTTTCCAAAGAAGACATACAGATGGAGATTCCTGAGTGGCTCAGTCAGACATCTGCCTTTGGCTTGGGTCCTGATCCCGGGTGCTGGGATTGAGCCTTGTATCAGGCTCCTTGCTCAGCAGGGAGTCTGCTTCTCCCTCTCCCTTTCCCCCATCTCCCCACTCATTCTCTCTCTCTTACCCTCTCTCTCAAATAAATAAAATCTTAAAAAAAAAAGACATACAAATGAGCATGAAAAGATGCTCAATATCACTCATCATTAGGGAGATACAAATAACAACTACAATAAGATACTACCTCACACCAATCAGATTGCTTAAAATTAACAACCAGGAGACAACAAGTGTGGGCAAGGATGCAGAGAAAGGGAAACCCTTTTACACTGTTGGTGGGAATAAAACTGGTGAAGCCACTCTGGAAAACAGTATGGAGATTCCTCAAAAAATTAAAAATAGAACTACTCTGTGATCCAGTGATCATGCTAATAGGTATTTACCCCCAAAATACAAAAATATTAATTCGAAGGGATACATATACCTTGATGTTTATAGTGGCAGTATTATCAACAATAGCCAAATTATGGAAAGAGCCCCAATGTCCATTAACTGATGAATAGATAAAGAAGATATGGCGTATATTTACAATGGAATATTGCTCAGCCATCAAAAAGAATGAGATCTTGCCATTTCCAAGGATGTGGACGGAGCTAGAGAGTATTATGCTAAATGAAATAAGTCAGAGAAAGACAGATACCATGATTTTACTTGTATATGGAATTTAAGAAAATAATTGAGCATAGGGAAAAATAAAACCAAGAAACACTCTTAACTATAAAGAACAAATTGAGAATTAGCAGAGGGGGAATGGGTAAAATAGGTGAAGGGGATTAAGAAGTACACTTGTGATGAGCACTGGGCATTGTTGATAAATGTTTAATCTGAACACCTGAAACTAATATTATACTGTGTATTAATCAACTGGAATTAAAAAACTGTAAAAAATAATAGTACCTGTTCCATAGAATTGTCATGAATCTTAAGCTATTAAAGCTTTTAATAGTGCCTAGTACGTATTATTCGCTGAATAAGTGGTAGATAATTATGTAATAGCCTTAGTATGCTGGTTATCATTATGTAATTATATAATCTCTTTTTGTATATTTTTATTCATTTATCTCTGTAGAAATGTAACTCAAGCTTATAGTAAAAAAGAAAAAGATTTGAAAAAAAAAAAAGAAGTCAACCACCTGTGTAATTCTTCCATCTGTAGATAACCATTATTGACCAGTTCTTGACTTTTCTAAGACTTTTCTATATATTTATGCAAAATGACTGGTGGTCATTAGCTTGTAATTCTGTGGGTGTATATAAAATTTGGGGGTACAAAAATGAGAGCACAGTATTTTCCAACCTTTTCTTTTATCTTAATGGTTTTTTTCCATGCCAGAGAACTGTTCAGAATGGCTACATACTAATTACTTTGGAAATAACATAACTTTTTTTGGCATTCATTTAGGTAATTGCAGACTTTTTTTTTTAAACTGTTATAGTCACAATGTAATATATATCCTTGTGCATATAGTATTTTACATGATCAGTTATTTTTTTTAGGATAAATTTCCAGAAGTAGAATTAATAGTTAAAAATTTATATCAATTCTATCATGATCAGTGTGAGAGTAGCTAGATGAGTGTCTTATAATTAAAGTACTCTTTTTTGAGGTCATTTGTTAAAAAGATTTGTTTTTCAGTGGATTTTCCATTTTTTTCTAACTTATTTGTATTGTAGCAATATGATATGTTAGTTCATTATGAGTTAAAATGACTTGATGGTTAGCTTGGTAACAAATCATTACCTATTATTATTTGTTTTTGTTATTTATTTTTATTTTTATAGGATAGTCTAAAATGGAAATAAATAGTAATTATTTTCTTTTCCTCTGATATTTGGCCATTTTTAACATCTGCATTAACAAGAAAAGTTGGTTGCTACTCTTTGTAAACCATTATCGTGGCTTGAGTAGAGTCCTTTTAATATAGTGAGTTTTCTCTATTTTAATTTAGCTTTATTTTTTTGTAGAGTTAGTGCACTGAAAGGATCCAAAGGAAAAGACTGTGAAATTCCTGTACCTGTGGGTATTTCAGTAACTGATGAAAATGGTAAAGTTATAGGTAAGTGTATTGTAGATTCCAAGGTTGTGAAAAATGTGCATATTTTCTAAAATTGTTTGGAAACTGTGGGGAATAGCTCCTCTTCAATGTCAGAATTGTTAAAAAACTATTTTAACTGCTAATTTATAAGAGATATTTAAAACTTTATATAAAAGTTGTTTACGGGGCACCTGGATGGCTCAGTTGGTTGTGCATCCAACTCTTGACTTCAGCTCGGGTCATGATCTCAGGGTGGTGGGATCCAGCCCTGAGTCAAGCTCCTCACTCAGCAGGAATCAGCTTGGGATTCTCCATCTCCCTTTGTCCCTCCCCTGCTAGTGCATCCACACGTGCTCTCTACTAATAAATAAAACTTTTTAAAAAATGGTTCAAAATTAACTGCTAGATATAAGATTATTATAAACATACAGCTCTTTAGATTTATAAATTGGAATTTTTTTGGCATCTATTTATAAATGAAAAATGTCATTAATGATTAGCTACACTTAGTAATCTTCATTCTAAGTATCTTCCTCTGTCTTTTTTAAGGAGAACTCAATAAAGAGAAAGACAGAATTTTGGTAGCTGAAGGAGGTCTTGGTGGTAAATTACTCACAAATTTCTTACCACTGAAAGGCCAGAAACGAGTCATTCGCCTTGATCTAAAACTTATAGCTGATATAGGCCTAGTGGGGTAAGTAACATTTGTATTTTTATTTTTATAATTTCAGAGAGATAGTTCATGAGTAGGAGATAAATGTAAATGGTAATTTGGGACCAGTATTATTTATGGAATAAATTTATGGAATTTGTGCATTGTTTGTATTGAGAATGCTGCTAAATACAGTTATTTTAATATTGCAAACATAGAGTTTCACAGTTAATATTTATTTGTAAAAGGAAAGGAAGATAATAGCAATTGAGTGGGCTAGTGGGAATGATAGACAATGAATCAAGAAAGAAAAATCAATCAAATGCAGTAGTATAAGAAGGTAAAAAGAATGTTACCAGATATTAAAAAATAAAATTTAAAATCCAAATCACATTTTATGAAGTGTATGGAAGGAAATAAAAAGAGAAAAAATGAAATATTCTTACAAGTCTTAATTAATAGAGGTATTGCTATCTTGTTGATCAGGTGGCTAATGCCCAATACAGATAGTCTCAACCATCAGACTTAGACACTGTTGGAGCACCAAGTTGGATCTCGGTCTGACTGTTTCCTTGTCCTTCATGATCTGCTTAGGTCCATTCTCAGTACTGCAGACCCCATAATGTTATCCTTTTTTACAGGCTTCCATTGTTTCATAGAACAGTGTTGTTTAACTGTAGAGTTTGCAGTGCTGGCACCTAACTGAGGGAGATGGAGAGCAAAATAGAAAGTAGGTAAAGGAAGGGAAGGCTTCAGCTTTGCATTTCTTCTCTCCCTGTCTGCCTGGCCCCACTTTAGCATTACACAGTAGTCAGAACACCTAAGAAAAAGGTAGGGAACACTGCTTTTTTTGCTGGTTTTATTTCAAACTTCCAGTTCCACTCTTCACCTCACATAGCTTCTTTCTAATTCATCTTCTCTAGGCATCTCACTGCTTTCTTTACCAGAGTCATCAGTCTGAATCCCTCACCTCTTGCCATGCCTGTCTAGCTACTAAGTCTTAACAGCAGTGCCCTAGAATTCATAAAGGTTCCGTTCTTGTTAACGTTATAATACAGAAGGATGTGATCCTGGTGTTCAGGTTTGCCATTTGCATTTAGTTTTTTCCATATAGTTATGAGGCATAGTTTCTGTAACATATATTTTTCACAATGTGGGTTTAGTAGGTTTTTGTTTTTTTTTTTTTTTTTTTTTTTTTTTTTGGTTTAGTAGGTTTTTATGGACAAGACTGAGAATCTAGCCATTCGCAGTCATTTGTTACAAAAATGTGTTTCAGATTCTATACACACTTTTACAGACTAAAGAGCCTCACAAGACTAAGTAATAAAGGTGGGATGAGGATGGGGAACTCAAGTGAGTGACTATTTGGGTTAGAGTTTCATATCCTCTGAAGGCCACCTGGAATGTCTTAGATAAGTTGTAGAATGTCTCTAAGCCTTTGTTTTCTCATTTTTAGTAGTGGCTGGAGATGGTAAAATGTAAGAAAACACATTTACAATACATTCCTTGGATTTATGAATGTTCAATGAATGAATGGTAGCTGTTACCATCATCATCATCACTACATTGTCAATGTATTGGAGAGTACATATAGTACTAAGCTTTTTAGAAGTGGTTTTGCTATTACAGTCAATAATTGAAGCATCGAGGGTTTTTTTTAAAGCATCGAGTTTGTTAAGTACAATGCTTAACATGTATTTTAGTGTTTTTAAATTGGGCAACTAGGGATCCCTGGGTGGCGCAGCGGTTTAGCGCCTGCCTTTGGCCCAGGGCGCAATCCTGGAGACCCGGGATCGAATCCCACGTCAGGCTCCCGGTGCATGGAGCCTGCTTCTCCCTCTGCCTGTGTCTCTGCCTCTCTCTCTCTCACTGTGTGCCTATCATAAATAAATAAAAATTAAAAAAATTAAAAAAAAATTTTTCTTTAAAAAAAAATAAATAAATTGGGCAACTATTCTTAAAAAGTTATTACTGTGAGTTGGTACTGCGTAAGCAGATACCTGTTTGCTGGTTTCAGGAATGAACTGCGTCTTAGAAGAAAGGTGTCCTATATACATATTTATTTGTACTGCTCTTCTCAGATCTGATCTTTGCATAGGTTGTGATATGGGAGAGCTTTGTTCTTGTCTCCTGGAGTCGAAAAACTTTGTTCTTGTCTCCTGGAGTCGAAAAATCAATCTCGCAGACTGTAACATAGCAAAGTGATAGAGTTTATTAAGCAGAGATACAGAGAAAGCTCTCAAAAGCCAGAGGGGTTCTGACAGGGTTGCCCCTGAGGGCTTTTATAGTCTATCTTTTATAGGGAACTGGGGGGGGGGGGGACTTGGTAAATTTCCTGTCAATATCGGGGTGGATATTTAGAACAAACATGGTGGACTTGTAACAAACAAGATGTTTCTTTTTTTTTTATATATATATATAATAAATTTATTTTTTATTGGTGTTCAATTTGCCAACATACAGAATAACACCCAGTGCTCATCCCGTCAAGTGTCCCCCTCAGTGCCCGTCACCCAGTCACCTCCACCCCCCGCCCTCCTCCCCTTCCACCACCCCTAGTTCGTTTCCCAGAGTAAGGAGTCTTTATGTTCTGTCTCCCTTTCTGATATTTCCCACACATTTCTTCTCCCTTCCCTTATCAAACAAGATGTTTCTATGTAAATATGAGCACAAACAAGGTGTTCCTTCTCTCTGGTTAATGTCTCCTCCATAATTCTCTACATCTGGGGTTTCTGTGAGCCTAGTAGCCATTAAAGGGGAATACTCCCTAACATTTTGGAACTAGGGAGCCAGGTTTATTTTTTTCTGTTTTTACTGTCTTACCTCTGTTTTCTTGGGATGGGTAGGAGCCTGATTCTGGGGCCTTTCTCTTATCTTTCCCTGCCTAGCCCCGTCTGCCCCTAACTCATTTCTACATCAGTTGGATTTCAGCCTCTAAAATTGTTATTAAGTACTTTTCAGGAAAAATCTCAATTATCATTTCTTCAACCGTTAACATCCTTTTTCTTCTCATATTTTGATCTCTTTGGAAATAGTTGCTGACTGATATTTTTCTGTGTTTAATACTATTATGAAAATATGGAGATAATGGAAAGAAATAAGCAAGTCTAGTTAGGGATAATCAAATAAAAATTATTGCAATTTGCATTTCAAAAAGTTACAAGGGCCTGGGCATAAGATATAAGACAGTACTGTATTTCCATAGGAAAATGAGTCATTAAAAAAACCTCACCTAATTTTATTTTAAATTCATCATAGGAAGATATATATATATATATGTATATATATATATATATATACACACACACACACATATACAAACACACACACACACATACATACATACATTTTTTTTTTAAGATTTTATTTATTCATGAGAGACACAGAGAGAGAGGCAGAGACATAGGCAGAGGGAGAAGCGGCTCCTCACAGGGAGACTGATACGGGACTCGATCCCCGGACCAGGATCATGCCCTGAACTGAAGGCTGATGCTCAACCGCTGAGCCACCCAGGCATTCCAAGGAAAATGTATTTAATGAGATATTTTAATTAGATTTGTTTTTAATGTTAAAAGAGCTCTACTAAAAGGTTATAAATTTTTAGAGAATTTCAGATGGATATTTCCAAAATATTACGCCATTATTCCAAGTGAAAGTTTTGGTGTGTTTTATAAGAAGAGCTTTTTCTAATTTGAATGAAAACTATAAAAGCAGGGATCGCAGTTGTTTCACTGATTGTCGTATCTCTGATCATAGTATATTGCCTAGTGTGAGTTAATGCTTAATAAATATTTTTTTGATAAATTTAATGAAAATATCGTAATGGAATTGAGGAAATCATCTCTTAAGTGACTCCCATTCCTAGTACTTTCTTTTATATGGTAGGCCTTTCCTGAGGCAAATTTAGCAATAAAATCAAAGCCTTTATTATAACAGGCATATGTTTTAATTATATTGTAATTCAGTATTTTCTCATCAAGAAATGTCTCTCAAGAAAGAGATTAAAGATGTATGTAAAAGTTCAAGGATACGGGTGCCTGGGTGGCTCAGTAGGTTAAGCGTCTGCCTTCAGCTCGGGTCATGATCCCAGGGTCCTGGGATTGAGCCCTGCTTCCGACTCCCTGCTCAGTTTGCTTCTTCCTCAGCTCCCCCCCCCCCCCACTCATGTGTTCTTTCTTTCTCTCTCAAATAAATAAGTAAAGTTTTAAAAAAGTTCAATGATAATAACTAGTGTTTAAGGTTTTAAAAGTTAGACAAATAATAAAGATATTATGAAATGAAAGATAATTGGCTGAAAGAAAAAAGTTATCTATTAATTCCACCACTTAGGGGTGACTTTTAATGTTGGTATATGTCCTTCTTGCTGCATACTTGTTTTTTACAATGTCATTTATAATAGTAAAGCATTGGAGATAACCTAAATGCCTGACAATAGGAAATTAAGTAAATTACAGTGTGCCCTTGAAAAGTGTTCACCTTTTATTACTCAGTTTAAAAAGCAGGCCAACCAACTATGAAATAGTCTTTCAGAAGAAAAAAATCAGAACTAAACCTGATCAAGGCTTTATATCAAACTAGCAATTTATAGAAAAACTAGGGCAAAGGAGTATGCTAAAGGACATCATGGGAGTGCTTCAAAAAAATTCAGACTATGGGAAAGAAACACTAGGACAAATGACCCAGTTTCCTTAAAAATAAAACTGCAGGGGCACCTGGGTGGCTCAGTCAGGTAAGCGGGCCAACTCTTGATTTCCGCTCAGGTCATGATCTCAGAGTCTGGAATCAAGACCATTGTGGGGTTCCACACTCAGTGGGAGTCTGCTTGAGGATTCTCTCTCTCTCCCTGTACCCCTTCTGCTGCTTACACATGCTCTCTCTCTCAAATAAATAAGTCTTTTTTTAAAAAAAACAAATGAATTAGAATTGCAAAGAGGAAACAATATGGGGGAGGAGGGAGCCTTTACCAAAAGAAATTTAAGGCATATATCAACCAGTTGTAATACACGGATCTTATGTGAGTCCCTGTTCAAACCAACTTTAAAAAAAGTATTGGGAATGTGTTACTTATTGAAGCTAGGTGATTGCTAAATGAGATTCATTACTTCTTTCTACTTTTGTATATATTTGGAAATGTCCATATAAAATGTATTAAAGAAAAATCTACAAAGCAATGCAAGCAATATTTTGTCATTTTTTGTGAGAATTAGTGGATTGTTGGTATTTTTATTTCTTTTTGTTTTTCTATGATTTACAGGTTTTTAAAAGATAATTGGATTATTTACTTCCAATACTGAGATATCTTTAGTGTCCAGCATGAATTTATCTTTACTTTTTTCATATGTATACTTCATTCAGGATATTTAATTTATATTCTTTTATTCTCAGAAATATTGAAATCTGCTTCCCAAAAAGTTAGAAATTCAGAGATAAGCAATACTAATATTAATAATACTAATATTTGTTTTAATATATTTATTTTTTCATTTCAGATTCCCAAATGCTGGAAAATCCTCTTTGCTAAGTCAGATTTCTCATGCAAAACCTGCAATTGCAGATTATGCATGTAAGTATAATTTGTTGTGTATTTTAATGTGCAGAGGTAAATTTTTAAAGTCTAATCTTTCTTTGAGTATGAATAAAATGAAAACTCTGAGGTAGCCTTAGTTTGAACACTCTTAAAAAAAAAAGAAAGAAAACTCTTGACTGATAGAGTACATGCATTTCCCATTAATCCTTGAAATCTCTATAGCCCTCAACAGAGTTTCTAGTACTTGTTAGATACTTGCTTTGTTGCATTTATTTCTCCTTTGCATAATCATTTATTTGATTTAGATGCGATTTTATGAGCACCTACCTTTTATCAAGCACTGTTCTTTCATTCATTTAGGAAGTATTTATTTCTGTGAACTACAATGGGTTCTGGAGTTATAAAGACTGGTAAATAGGTACTGTTCTGACTCTTACTGAGCTTACAGACTAGTAGGGGAAGGTACATATATCACATCTGACTATAAGGGAATATAATATGATTCTATGAAAGAGTGTAGGTGGCTGCTTTAAAGTTTTTTGGGGAAATGTTATGCTAGAGTTGAGGTGTGAAGAATATACAAGTTAATAACAGTGGATGTGAATGGTGCTATAGTCAGACAAAATAGCATGTACACAAAAGCTCTGTGGTGGCAGGGAGATTTGTGTGTCAGGGAGATTTGTGTGTTGAGAAAACATGTAGTGAGGTAAATAGGGAATTGGGATGTCTGGGTGGCTCAGCAGTTAAGCATCTGCCTTTAGCTCAAGGTGTGATCCTGGAGTTCCGGGATTGAGTCCCACATTAAGCTCCCTGCATGGAGCCTGCTTCTCCCTCTGCCTGTGTCTCTGCCTCTCTATATTTCTCTCATGAATAAATAAAATCTTAAAAAAAAAAAAAAGGTAAAGAGCGAATTGATAAGGCTGAAGATGTTAAGTAGAGACTGTATCATATAGACCAGGTAGGCTTTATTTGCTCTTTATATCTAAAGAGCAGCTGATAGCCTTTTAATCAAAGGATAGAATGATTAGATTTGCTTTTCAAAAAGATGTTTCTGCATATAATCTAGAAAATGCATTGGCATGGAACATGAATGGGCCTGGGAAAAATAGGCTATTGCAGTAGCTAGATGAAATGTAATGGATGCTTAGACTAAGTAATGAATTAATGTGATAGAATCCCTGCCATCATTAAACAAAAAGATCCAGAAACATACATTAACCTGGAAAATAAAATTAAGCCATTTTAAAATTAAACTCTGTTGAAGGAGAGTTAATTTTGGACTAATTGCTATAAATTACATTGCCAATATTTATTGTTATAATACAGGGACTCTTGAGAAGGAAAGAAGTAAAGTTTAGAGTCATATGAAGAAGGCTACTACAGAATTATGAGGCTTGAGGATAACTGAATAAGAAATGACTAGAGAGATTTTATCCACAGACCCAGTGATAGAAACCAAAATTCTATTCTTCCCTCCAGAATCTTTATTACGCTCCTTAAAGTACAACCAAAGAATTTCGAAGTCCACTGATTAGATTAGATCTAGGCCTATGCAGATTATAATTGTATTTTCCATTCCAACAAAATTTGAATTAAATTGTTTACAAAAAAGAAATATTATTCATTTTATACATAATGCTAAGTCAATTTTGAGAATACCAGCCTTTATTCTAGCCTTAATTTACTGGGCCTTTTTCTTTTAGTTACAACATTAAAGCCTGAACTTGGAAAGATAATGTATAATGATTTCAAACAGGTGAGTATTTTTTAAATGAGACACTTGGTTATAAATGAAAGTACTTGCTTTTGGTACTTGGACTTTGTAATACATGATTGTTTTTGTGGTGTTAGGGGAAGAAAGTAGCAGGATTTTGTTTTTCATAAATGAGACTGTGATCGAGTCAGTTTTGCTGAGCATGATCATAGTCAATATTGTATAAAATATAACTTTTGTCCATCCAAAGTTTAGGTCTGGTTTATCATTATAGCATAGTATCTAATCTCTGATATCTGCTCTCATTGCAAGTCCATATTTTACTGTCATATTTCATTATTGATTCTTGTTTCCTGAAAACATTTTCTAAAGTTCATGGAATTGAATTTATTCCAACTTTCTCTTTCTAAAAAAGTTTTTTTTAATTGAATGGGATTCTGGTCTAGCTATTAAAATTTATTTTTCCTTGATAAAGAATAGCTATAGATCTTTTAATAATCACAGTAAAAATAAAAAACAAAGTAACAAACTTTGAAAAATGTGCAATGTATGATCAATGGTTATGCTCCTTGGTATTGACCCAAATGAATTAAAAACTTACATACAGACAAAAACCTGCACATGCATGTTTGTAGCAGCCTGTTCATAAATGCCAAAACTTGAAGCAACCAAGATGTCCTTCAGTAGATGGACAAACGAACTGTGGTAATTATGGAATATTGAGCTATGAAGATGTGAAAAGACATGCAAGAACCTTAAATATATATCACTAACTGAAGGAAGCCAGTCTGAAAAGGCTGCATACAGTATGGGTCTAACTATGTGACATTCTGGAAAAAGGCAAAATTATAGTCATAGCAAAAAGATCAGTGGTTGTCGAGGATTAAAGGGAAAGAAAGGATAAATAGAAGAATACAGAGGATTTTTAGGGCAGTGAAACCATTCTGTATGATACTATAATGGTGAGTACATGACATTCATTTGTCAAAGCCATAGAATGTACAATACCAATAGTGAACCCTAATATAAAGTATGGAATAGGCAATGATGTATCAGTGTAGTTTCATACAATCCATTGACATAATTAAAATACATAAAGGATTTATATTCATTTATAATAGTCATATAACAGTAAATATTTAAAACCAGCAATTATGTAGAATAATAAATAAAATTATAAATATGGGATAATATTAATATGGAGAACAGTAGAGAAAAAGAGAACATTGTAAATTTTAAGGGAAACTTAATTCTCCATAGCAAAATTCTCAGTGGAGAACCTGCAAACAAAATTTCAAGACCTGAAAAAAAAATGCTTCAGAACATGAGTCCTCTATTATATTTTGTCTATGTGACAGCTTAGTCACATAGCCACAGTTTCCGTTAAAATTCTGAAATCCTGTGAAAAGCAGTGCTTCTCATCCCTTACTGCACATCAAAATTAACCGGGTGACTTCAGAACAACAAGTAAATGAAGCCTGGGCCCCAGAGATTTGAAACCAGATTCCTTGGGGTAGGGCCTGGGTATCTTTATAAAAGATACCTGGGTGTTTGTTTATAACGTGCAATGAGGTTTGAAAACCACAAATGCAGACTAATGGTTAATAACTTATCACTTCAGAAAGGAGTTACAGGAACATTACATCCTTTACTTTTCAAGAATGGTCCGTAGTCCCCTTGGTAGAACAGAAAAGGAACAGTGGTGCCACATAATCAATTACATATGGAATTTAAAATTTGAAACTACAGAACTATACTAAGTCAATGTCTGCTGAATTAATATCCTTCTATACTTTTAAGAATTCTGAGAGTTGAAATCTATGACTGGTTCATATTTGAATAATATATTTTATAGAATTCTGAAGAGAATTTGCATGATTTTTAAATGTTAAACTAATCCCTAGAATTCTTAGTTTGTTAGATTAATAAGTAAAAATGAGACTTTAATTTTTGATAACAAAGGATTTTGATTCTTAATACTTTTTTGTTATAAAGGTATCTTGACTTTATAAAAATGTAGTGGTAATCACAAATTAGTAACTGAATTTGAAATATGCAGATTTGGGGATGTAATTTTTTTTTCTTTTTATCAAACCATTTAACTTGGTATTAGATATCAGTAGCTGATCTTCCTGGTTTAATAGAAGGAGCACATATGAACAAAGGAATGGGCCACAAATTCCTCAAGCATATAGAAAGAACTAGACAACTACTTTTTGTTGTAAGTCATATGCATACCAATGTAATGTTTGAATGAGTGTGAATGTCAATGTGTTTAGTTTCCCTAGAAATTGTTTATAATAAGGTTTAAAGATAAGATAGTATCATATGTTACTCCCTAAATGTTTAAATGAGGGTCAAATATAGTAAGTAAATTCTGTTTATAATGTGGGGGTAGAAATGGCATTACTGTATCAGATACAAGTTTGGCCATACTTGTCAAGATTTAATTCCTTAAGATTGTCAGCATACTGCTATGTTTTATAGTATCTCTTTCCTACTTCATTGATGGTACTAGAGTTATACATGAGATTTTCTATATAATATATACAAATTGTTTTATCTATACTAGTTTCTCATTTTATTAATGATTGTGATTTTGTCAGAATAATTATGGCTATCTTGACACTGCAGTTTCTCTTATATAGAATTACTAAACACCAATTGTATATAAATTGAGAAGTTACTTTTAGCTTGAGAGAATAAAACACTTCAAAACATAAAAATTTATAACTCTTGTTTATATGTTACACTCTTTCTTTTTTTTTTTTTAGGTTGATATTTTTGGATTTCAACTTTCTTCCCAAACTCAGTATAGAACTGCCTTTGAAACCATAATACTACTTATAAAAGTAGGTTTTCTGTTTAATTGTGTCTGTATTTGGTCTAATATATAACCATATGGAATTGTATTAAATTACAGATAATTAGAATAAATACATATTCCACCTGTACCTAGCCACCCAGGCACGCCAAAATGCTCCTTGATTCTATTTTTTTTTTAATTTATTTATTTATTTATGATAGTCACAGAGAGAGAGAGAGGCAGAGACACAAGCAGAGGGAGAAGCAGGCTCCATGCACTGGGAGCCCGACGTGGGATTCGATCCCGGGTCTCCAGGATCGCGCCCTGGGCCAAAGGCAGGCGCCAAACCGCTGCGCCACCCAGGGATCCCTGCTCCTTGATTCTAAATCCTTCTTATATCCTTCTCAGACTTTATTGTGCTTGAACTTTAATACCTACTTTTTAGACTATTTCTCAGTCTATTTTTTATGCTCTTTCCTGTTCATTCTTTTTATTTAGCATTCAGTTACAGTTAATATACTTATGACTGCCAAATCTGTTTCTGATACCTAGATCTTTTGGTTATGCTTTAGACTAGCTGCCTAATGGATATCTTTCATTGGATATCCCATTAGGTTCTCCAATTTAATATGTACACAACTGAATTTTTTCTTTTTAACTCTTCATCCTCCCCAGAACTTTACTGGGTATGTGAATCAGAAGCCTGGATGTTGGTATCGATTCTTTCTCACCATCTGCATTAAGCCTTGTCAGTTTTATATCCTAAATTTCTGAAACTCGTCTACTTGTCTTCATCCACACTGTTAAAATCATCAGCCCTTCTCACTAGAATGCTTTAACTCTTCCAACGTGGTCTCCTTGCTTCCAGTCTCACTTCAGTCCATTTTTTAAAATTGATATTGACTTGACACATAAAGTTACATTATGTAAACACAGTGTGTGTAAACACAGTGCTTCAACAACTATACATCATGCTATGCTTACCACAAGTGTAGCTAACATCTGTCACCACACGATGCTATTATAATACAATTCTTGAGTCCATTTTTTTTAATGTGGCAACTAGAGTGATCTTTATGAAAGAACCAAGCAGATGTTTGTTCCCTGCTTAAAACACTTCAATGGTCCCCCACTGTTGTCAGGTTAAATTCCTTCCCTGAACATGGTTTTTGAGGTCTGGCAAGGGTTGGCTCCTACCTAGCAGTCCATCTCTGCCCTTCCTGCCTTACTTTCTATTCTCAGCCCTATGATTTCTCTCTAACACAGCATCATGTCACTTACCTCCAGGACTTGTATGTCTTAAATCCTTGTCACTTTCTGTCCATTATGAATAATGCTCCTGTGAGCAATTGAATACAGTTTTTTGTATGAACATGTTTTCATTTCTCTTGGGCATGTAGACCTAAGAGTAGAATTGCTAGCTAATACAGTCAACATGTGACATTTTGAGGAACTGCCAGGTTTTTACAGAGTGGTAGCATCATTGTACTATTTTATAATTGAACTAGCAATGTATGTGAAGGTTCCAATTTTTCCACATGAATGCCAACACTTGTTATTTTGTCTTGTGGTTTTTTGTTTTGTTTTGTTTTTAAGATTTTATTTTTTTACTCGGGAGAGACACAGGGAATGAGAAGTAGAGACACACAGGGCAGAGGGAGAAGTAGGCTCCCAGGCAGGGAGCCCATTGGGCAGGGAGCCCAATGCAGGACTCGATCCCAGGGCTCTGGGATCAAGTCCTGAGCCAAAGGCAGATGCTCAACCGCTGAGCCCCCCAGGCGTCCCTTGTCTGTGTTTATTTTTGTTACCCTACTAGGCATGAAGTGGTATTTCATTATGGCTTTGACCTGCATTTCTCTAGTGACTATGTTGAGCATTCTTTCATATGCTAATTGGCCATTTGAATGCCTTTAGAGAAATGACCAGATTCTTTGCCCATTTTTAAAAATGGGTTACTTGTGGGATGCCTGGGTGGCATAGTGGTTAAGTATCTACCTTTGGCTCAGGGCTTGATCCCAGAGTCCTGGGAGAATCAGGGAGCCTGATGGTGGGGGGACTCAGTCCCAGGAACCTGAGATCATGACCTGAGCCAAACTCAGATGCTTAACTGACTGAGCCATCCAGGTGCCCCTGTCTTCACTTTATGACTTTTTTCTTTAAGATTTTATTTATTTATTCATGAGAGAGACAGAGAGAAAGAGAGGCAGAGACACAGGCAGAGGGAGAAGCAGGCTCCATGCAGGAGCCCCACATGGGACTTGATCCCTGGTCTCCGGGATCACACCCCAGGCTGCAGGCGGTGCTAAACCGCTGGGCCACTGGGACTGCCCTATGATATTTTTTAAAGCACAAAATTTTGTATTTTAATGAAGTTCTGTTTGTTTATTTTGCTTGTGCATTGATGTCATAGCTAAGAAACCATTGCATAGTACATGGTCATGAAGATTTACTCCTAACCACACTTACTTTTTCCAAGAATAAGACAAGTAAAGCATTAAATTGTCATTATTTACTTGTGAATTTTATCAGTGTGCTTGATAGAAGCCAAAATACCTGTATTTGGCCGTAGACACAAAATACAACATCTCTAGGATGCCATTTGAGTTAAAATATATTAATGCATGACCTAACCAGTAAGCATTTTATGAATTTTCTTTGTCACTTAATTTTGTGGCTGTTGAGATTTCTTGCATTTCAGAAATGGGAGTGGGCTTTAGATTACCCAGGCCTACCAAGAAAGAGGTTACCAAATATGTAATCTATATAGATATTTTAATAAAATTATTTGGTGTTTCTTTTTTTATGTAAAGGAGTTGGAGTTGTACAAAGAGGAACTTCAGAGAAAACCTGCACTCCTGGCAGTTAATAAAATGGACTTGCCAGGTGCTCAAGATAAATTCCATATACTGATGCATCAACTCCAGAATCCTAAAGGTAAACCCATTTGTTCATTTAATGGCAGTTTAATGATTACCTATTGTGTGGAGAGAGTGCTGAGTGGTATAATGAATGGAAAAGAAACTTACAGTTGCTACTCTTAAAAAAAAAATCATGTTTGAAGAAGAAACACATTATTATGAAATTTTAAATAACATTGTAACATAGTACTTATGTACCAAGTTTCAGAATCATGATATGGATAGTAAGTTAGAGGAGACAAAAGAAAAAGTCAGGCTTCATGAAGAAGTAAAATTTAAACTGGGCTTTTAAATAAACAGTTAAAGGAGGGGCCACCCAGGTGGCTCCACCTTCGGCCCAGGGCCTGATCCTGGAGACCCAGGATCAAGACCATCAGGAACTAACTGGCTGCGAGTAGTGTCACGCGAGTAGTGTCCCATAGCACTGGGCAAAGGTAGGTGCCCTGGGTGTCGGTGCTGTGCTTGCGCTGTGCACTGATGCGCTATACCCTAACAGTGGGTTGATCAGTCAGCCTCCCTTTCAGTGTGGGCTTCTCAAGGCAGGGACTGAGTGCTCCCACAATGTGCACCCAGCCCAGGGACAAAGTGTTAGACTTGGACCAGTTTGCAGGTGACTCCATCTCTGCTTGCATGAATAGGGTTGCAAAATTTGGAAAAAACAAAACAAAAAGCAGGAAGCCCAGGTAAATGTGACTTTCAGATAAATTACAGATAATATTTTAGTGTAAGTAAGTCCCAAATGTTGCCCTAGGAGGGACATACTAAAATTTAAATTTTATTTGTCCTTTATCTGAAAGTCACATTTAACTGGGCAACCTGTGTTGTGTCACCCTACTGGTCACGCCAGCCGAGGAGCCGAGTCCCACGAGTCCCATGAGTCCCACGAGTCCCACGTTCGGCTCCCTGCATGGGGCCTGCTTCTCCCACTGCTTATGTCTCTCTACCTCTCTTTCTCTGTCTCTCATGAATAAATAAATAAAATCTTAGAAAAAATAAAGAGTTAATGGGATTTGGATCAAAAGAGGAAAAAGTCAACATCTCAAAAGAATTTAAAGTAAATTCTTTCACTTTAACATACTTCAGAAGTTCTAGAACTAATATGCCATAATGTAAAACCAGAGCAAATAGTTCTATATCTTTGCAATGTCAGCAAAGTACTCTGAAAAGTGCTAATGTTTTAAAAAGAATTTGAATACCTATGTGTGTGTGACAGAATAACAGATGCTGTTACTGCAAAAGGATCTATTTGTTTGAAATTTGCTCTTAAATGGACCACTTTGTGTAAAGGAACTTAAAGGGACTCTCCACAGTTTTGAATATTGAACTTTGCAGAACACTTCCTATCCTACAGTAATGATGGTTTCATTTTTCTGAGTCTAGTAGAGGACCTCTTCACAAATGAGGAAGTTGAGTGGGTGGAAGGTAGCTAATATGTTTTTGAATGGTACTAACTTCTCTGTTTTTATCCTTTGGATAAAAATTGGGGAAATAAATTATAGTGTACTAGGACTAGCAGACAACACCAGAAGATCCTTTCTCCCTCTTAAAAATCTTTGCCCTGTGTAATTTACATATTGGAGCTGTGCTTGAGTTCATAAATAACTTTCAGGATATAAATGCTCCTGGAACTACTGAGTGCTCTTTATTCCTTAATGCTACTTGCTTTATGAGATTATTCATCTATTTGTTAGTTGGTCTTGCAGAAAGGGGAGTTTTCAGAGGAGGTATCAGAAGGGAGGATAACTCAAGAGTTTTTGCCTATTTTGGACTGTCATGAAACAAAATCTAGTGCCCTCAGTGATAATTCCTAAGTTAGCTTTTTTCAACTTCCTTAGCGGTGTGTGAATCTCAGAAACCAAGCTCCATGTTGACTTATCCAGTTTCTCTCAGCCAAGCCTTTCCAGTTCATATCCATATTAACCCATCCCATCAGTATGCCATCGACCCTCCCATTGTCTTAGAGGCAGGGAAGAGGAAACAGTAATATAATAGCTTTCTCCCCCTGTGGGGTGGTAGTGTGGACTCATCTGAAATGACCTCCCCTTGAACTGTCCCCATACCCTTTTCAATTTTAGTACAGCTCTTAGCACCAGTGATAATAAGTCTGTAGTTTAGGGCAGCTCACGGCCACCTGTGTACTGATGCAAGCTACAATATCCCAAATCATGAATGATGCTACTTTATACATAAGTCTTTTAGAAACTCTGTTGCCTGACTTCATTGAACTCCTCCAAAAAAAACCAAATTTATTGCTTTTGTAAGTAAATCATGTATGATTTATCTTTTATTTATACTTAATTTGGTTTAAAATATATTCATCCTACAAATATTTACTTATATGCCAAGAATCTTACCATTCTCATTTTTATTTTTTTATAGTTTAATTTTTTAAAAGATTTTATTTATTTGAGAGTACAAGCTGGGGGATAAGTAGAGGGAGAGGGAGAAGCAGACTCCCTGCTGAGCAGGGAACCCCATGCATGACTCCATCCCAGGACCCCAGGATCACGACCCAAGCCGAAGGCAGACACTCTACCTACTGAGCCACCCTGGCGCCCCAAATTCTCATTTTTAAAAACAGAAGTTTCTAAGAGCTTATTAATGAGGGAAGGAAAAAAATTAAAAATGCTAAGTTTTTAGTAGCTTGATTCATAAGTCAAACCTCTAAGATAGTTTTAATTTACTTTCAAAGACAATGAAAATCAGCTTAGTTGTGTGTTCTTTGTTTCAGATTTTCTGCATTTATTTGAAAAAAACATGATTCCAAAGAGGACCATGGAGTTCCAACATATCATCCCCATCTCTGCAACTACAGGAGAAGGAATAGATGAATTAAAGAACTATATAAGAAAATCTCTGGATGAACATGCTAATCAGGAAGATGATGCGTATCATAAGAAACAGTTGCTTAATTTACAGATTTCTAATACAGTATCTTATAGTGAGCCACCACCAGAGAGTCCTGTTACTAGCCCTAGATAGATGTAATTTTTTTTTAAGATTTTATTTTAGTTTATTTATTCATTCATGATAGAGAGAGAGGCAGAGACAGAGCAGGCTCTATGCTGGGAGCCCGACGCGGGACTCGATCCTGGGACTCCAGGATCACGCCCTGGGCGAAAGGCAGGCACCAAACCCCTGAGCCACCTAGGGATCCCCTGGATAGATGTAATTTAAATCTATTAAAAATGATACTAAAATTATGTTCATTTGTAAGTTTTTCCACAGACTTGTATTTTTTAGGAGGTTAGTTATTATTAACCTTCTGTATAATACCATTATTCAAGAACCATACCTTCCTTCTTGTTTTATAGTTAAGTGTATGGGTGGTAAAAAACTGAGACCTAAAAATGACAACTCATAATTTTATGGACAATCCACCTATAATAAAACCCTTTGGTATTCCTATATTTATGATGTCTCTAGGGAGATCATTTAGAGAGAGAGAGAGAGAAGAGGATTCTCTAGCAACCAGGTTTTGTTCGTTTTTGAGTCTGTCATGTACCTGATTCTACTAAATATACAGTAGTACTCTTTTTTGGAAAACCTCAAAAGCCTAAATTTCAACATATGTTTAGTGATAATAAAGATCACAGATAATATTTAGCAGAAACCAGCAGGTAGATGTTTGCAATTTCAATTTCACCTTTTGGAAATTTTTCATTCTTAAGTATAAGTGTTTTTTCATGCTTTGGAGCAGACTGGTATATGTCTCATTTCCTTGCATTCAAATCTGTTTTGTTGTCTATTTTCATGGTTAGTGCAAACTTGAAACAATATTATCAATCATCAGTATATTCTTTTTTTTTTTTTTTTTTTTTTTAGTTTTTATTTATTTATGATAGTCACACAGAGAGAGAGAGACAGAGACATAGGCAGAGGGAGAAGCAGGCTCCATGCACTGGGAGCCCGACGTGGGATTCGATCCCGGGTCTCCAGGATCGCGCCCTGGGCCAAAAGCAGGCGCTAAACCGCTGCGCCACCCAGGGATCCCAATCATCAGTATATTCTTAAGAGATTAAAACTTCTGAGTTTCAAAAAGACAAATTGGACATTTTCTTTTCCTAAGTTTTATTATAAAATATGTATGTTCATTGTAAGAAATAAAATTTAAACCATGCAAACACCTGTAAAAAAAGTTCCCATCTTCCTACACTGGGCCCTCCAGTCCTTCCCGGACCACTGTTAATTTAAGTTTTTATATACCTACAGAATTTTTTTATTAGTTTATTTTTTTACCCAAATGAGTTCATTATATAAACCTTTTCTAAGTTGGATTTTTAAAAAAAATAGTGGCAAGTTAATGAGCTTTTAAAACCTATTCTTCAAAGCTGTTTTTTTTTTTTTTTTAAGATTTTATTTATTTATTCATGATAGAAGCGGGCAGAGAGGCAGAGACACAGGCAGAGGGAGAAGGAGGCTCCATGCCGGGAGCCTGACGCGGGACTCGATCCCAGGACTCCAGGACCACACTCTGGGCCAAAGGCAGGTGCCAAACTGCCGAGCCACCCAGGGATCCCCTCAAAGCTGTTTTTAAATTATTACAAATTACTTTGGAATTTAAGGCTCAGTGAAGCCTTTGACTATGAATATTAAATAAAAATGATGTCAATATTCTACTTAAATGTCTTCTGATGTGACAATGTGAATGAGTTTTTACAAGTATTATTTCACTTTTGTTTTCTGTTTCCCACTCCTACCTCACATTCTAGGCCCCAGATGAGTGGCTTTTTTTTTTGTATTTCTTTTTCCTTCATTGCCCAGGTATTTACTGAGTGTCTCCCATGTGTTAGGCACTGTGCAAGGCACAGCATTTACAGTGTTGAAGAGCAGGCAGGACATGCTGCCCTTACAGATTTCACATTCAATAGCAGAAACTGCAGGGGATTGGAGTAGCCTGGTTCCACGTTACAACAAAGAAATAAGAATGAGGAGAGCATTCAGAATTTGAACATCTGTACTGATCATTGTGACCGTATTTCATATTGGATATGTTTTACATTTACAATTTAGGTATCCTTTTTCTCTTTTACTTTATTATTTCTTAAATATAAGCAAGTAGCAATGTGAGGACAATTTCATCAGGTGAATTTCTGAAGTTTTTACCCCATAATCTTATTTTCCGCTGTGGCAAAGAATAGTAGATCTGTGCTGAAAATTAAGAGGAATTATATCTTATTTGCACTGTCAGTAATGCCCTGGTTACTACTCTACAACTAACTTAAGCATTGTGTTACATAACTCAGTAAAATGTTCCATGATTTGTATTTTCTAGTTACTGAAAGTTGATAGTTGATTTTTATTCTAAACAGAAGGAGAAAAACTGGATCCCTTTTTATTTTATAAAAAACGCATTTTAAAAACTTAAAAGATTTATTTTGAAATAAATATACTAGCATTTCAGATGCCATTTATTGGGTCTTTAAGCCAGTTTTTTTTTTTTCATTTTTACCTTTTAAAATACATATACTTTTTGGAAGATTTGATTTTTATATTAATTGAATAGCCAGGATGTCAGTGTACTATGTAAATTTTTAACAAATCCCAGTAGTTCCTGAAGAGCCTGCTGTGTCAGATTCACACAGCAGACACTATCAAGACACTATCAAGTAATTAAGTATATCATACTGTGAAGTTGGATCTGTGCTTCAAAGATTTCACCTATGAATAGAAATGTTCCAGGAATATATTATTTTTGCAATACATATCCGTATTATTTTTATCATAGCAAAATGAACTTTATGCAAAATTAATAGGGTTTTTAGATTTTATTTATTTGAGAGAGAACGAGCAAGCAAGAACAACTGGGGGGAGGCACAGAGGGAGAGGGAGAAAGAAGGATAAGTAGACTCTGCACTGAGTGTGCAGAGCCCTATGCAGGACTTGATCTCACAACTCCAAGATCATGACTTGATTCGGAATCAAGAGTCTGCCACTTAGCGATTGAGCCACCCTGGAGCCCCTGTTTTCTTTTAAGTGGTAAACATGCATTATCTAATCAGAGGTGTATAAAGTCTTCATAATGGGAAAAATCAGGTCAAGGGTATTTTATTTTTCAGGCTTTATCTGGTTTTGTTATAAAGTTATGTGTCTTACTTAAGTTCATTGTTCATTTGCTTTGGGAGGATGGAGTACAGAGATTCCTTTAAGAAAGTTAATGAAAGCTAAAGACTGGGCAGCCCGGGTGGCTCAGGGTTTAGTGCCGCCTTCAACCCAGGACATGATCCTGGAGACCTGGGATAGAGTCCCGCGTCGGGCTCCCTGCATGGGGTCTGCCTCTCTCTCTCTCTCTCCTCGAATGAATGAATGAATGAATGAATGAATGAATGAATAAATAAATAAATAAATAAATAAATAAATAAATAAATAAATAATAGAAAGAAAGCTAAAGATTTTTTCCTTGCCAAAGTGTACATAAACACATGGAGTATTTTCTAAGTAGTTTCATAGGGTTTGCAAAGTTCAGATTAAAAAATTCACTTCACAAAAGTTAAGTTCTCTCTGGAAATTTGTAATATCATTAAATTACATTAAAAAGAATATTTTGGGTGCCTTACTGGCTTAGTCAGTAGAACATGTGACTCTTGATTTCAGGGTTGTGAGTTAAAGCCCCATTTTAGACACAAAGCTTCCTTTAAATAAATAGGTAAATAATAAGTGACAGGTATTTTTTAAAAACTTACAGAATTGCATTTTTTAAGTGTTTCAAACCAGCAGCATAAGCTCACAAACTATAGCTTAAAAATGAAGTGAAAATTAGCAAGTCTAAATTGTAAACCTACACAGAAGACATCTTATTTCAAAAACATGGTAACATTTTTTTTGAAGACAAAGTTGTGACTTAAATTTAATGTATATTTTTAAACGCTTGAGTATCTGAAATTTAGTTTAAATCTGCCTGTCCTTATGGAATAGACAAGTGAAACAAATCCAGAACTTTGAGTACATGGTCTATGCTGGTAATCATAATATCTAACAAGGCTTTGCCCTATAAAAGTTTATACCTTGAGGATTAAGCCATTTAAATAAACACAGTTAACAAATGTTGGCAGACAATGTGCTGTAACATTTACTACAAAGTTAAACAACAATGAAAAATTTACTTTTTTTTCTTAAGTAGCTATCTCAAAGAAGCATTTTGTTTGTTTTGTGATTTGAGCTTGGCAAATAGAGGGAAAGTATCAGAGGAATCCTTTTGGCTTTAAGTGGGTATCACAAGCCAGCTGAAGGAAAAGCAAAGTCAATTAGGTAATAGAAATGAGAAAAGGAGAGAGAAGAAAAAAAAATGCAGGCATGTTGGAAAGTTGTAGTATTTCCCTGTGGGTAACTCAGGAGTAACGTGGGTTATTGCCTCAGTTGGCTCTCAGAAGTATGAAAAAGCCAGGTGCAATTTCAACTACCGTTTCTGACCATAACCAATCATTAGTTTTAGGCAGTTCTAACTTTTGTACTTTTACTGTATCTCATTATATGACTGTTGCTTAATTAATAGTTGTTGGGTGCTTGGAAGACTTCAGAGGAAGCAATCACTTTTGTATATATCATTAGTGTGTTTATAATAGAAATTAATATTTTTAAAATATTTTATTTATTCATGAGAGACACACAGAGAGAGAGGCAGAGACACAGGCAGAGGGAGAAGCAGGCTCCATGCAGGGAGCCCAACGTGGGACTCTATCCAGGGTCTCCAGGATCAGGCCCTGGGCTAAGGGCAGTGCTAAATCGCTGAACCACCCGGGCTGCCCATAGAAATTAAATTTGTTGGGTTGCCCCAGATACTAAGCCATGTGAAGCACAGCTATTATTTGAATCCTGTCCTCTGAAATGCTTATAATTTGAAGAACAGCATATGCAGTTCATGTTATAAACTGCAGTTTATAGTATAATTAATTTTGGAGCAATATATGGCAAAATTGTTTTTTTTTTCAATTTAATTTATAAACTTTAAGTAATTGAAAGTTGAACGCGAAGGACAAAAGCTTCCTTGGTTCATGGTAGATATTTCAATATATTTTTCTGAGATTGCCAATATCTTCTGACCAGTGCTTTCATTTTCTTATTTATTATCAAACATTATTATTGTCATTATTCCAAATGACAAAAGGCTTTAGGAAGACCATGTAATTTTCTTATATTAAAAAAGGATATGATTATAAATCTAAAATACGCCTTCAGTTGCTACAAATTGAGGGAGATTAAAAATAAATCAAGAGCAGGCATGGAGTAGAAGCTTCTGGCTTTGAATGGATTTGAAACATGATTAAGTGATAGTAGATAAAAGCCTCTGGTCAACCAAATCCTAAAGGGAAGAAATAAGAATACTATATAATAATTGAGCCTCAGTTTCAAAAACAGATCTTACCATGAACTAAACAATTCTAGAAACTAAAAGTAGGAGAGCAAAGTGCTGATAGGTGGTTCTTTCTGAGGGCTGTTGAGGGAGAGTCTCTACCATGGCGCCAGCCTAGCTTCTAGTGGTTTGCTGGTCACCTTCAGTTGCTTGTAGAAGCAACACCCAGTTTCTGCCCTCATCTTCACATGGGATTCTCCCTGTGTGGTTGTCTCCAAATTTTTCCTTTTTATAAAGAAACAAGTCATGTTGGATTAAGGCTCACCCTAATGACCTCTTTTTAACTTGATTACTTCTGTAAAAAACCCTGTCTCCAAAAAGGTTACATCCTGAGGTATGTTGAGAGAGTTAGGACTCCAGCATTGGAATTTTTAAGGAACACGTTCTACCAATAACATTTCCCTATTTTTATCTCTATACTTCCCAACATCCCAATTAATAGATAGTCATTTATTATTTTTTATTTGATAGTCTCCTCTAAAAAATAGTATATGGGGAGGGGGGGCTTTGTTGTTTTTTCTTCAAAAATGTATTTATATCAGAGAGTGCGCACATGCATGGGAGGTGAGTGGCCAGAGGGAGAGGAAGAGATAGAATCCCAAGCAGACTCCCTGCTGAGTGCAGAGCCCTTTATCTTGACCTGAGCCAAAATCCAAGAGTTGGATGTTCAACTGACTGAGGCTCCCAGGCACCCCCAGATTTTAATTTTGTATTTATCCATATTTGTTGAGTTTCAGTAGTGGACTTTGAAATACTATGGTGAGATATGACTGACACATAAAAAGGGAAATGATGTGCCAGTTAGTTTCCAATTTTGAGCTGATGTGTGTAATTTACAGAAGATGAAATTATTCAGAGGGGAAGGTAGGTAGGATTTTAGTGGTCAGAGAGGGTAGTAGGAAGACATTCCAACTTTAGGAATAGCTTCAATAAACATTTTGAGTAAGTAAAGTTTTAGCTGAAGAAACCCAAAATAGGGATCCCTGGGTGGCGCAGCGGTTTGGCGCCTGCCTTTGGCCCAGGGCGCGATCCTGGAGACCCGGGATCGAATCCCACGTCGGGCTCCCGGTGCATGGAGCCTGCTTCTCCCTCTGCCTGTGTCTCTGCCTCTCTCTCTCTCTGTGTGTGACTATCGTAAATAAATAAAAAAAATATAAAAAATAAAAAAAAATAAAAAAAAAAAAGAAACCCAAAATAAGGAGACTGCCCTGAATCTAAAGAGTTCTGAATGGTAACAGCAACGTTTTGGGAATATCCTCCACTTACTACTTCTGGATTTTGAGCACATTACTGAGTCTCAATTTCTTTGTCATTAATACAGATTTATTGTGATTAAGTTAGATGATTCATGGAAAACATACTTGGAATATAATAAATACTGAATATTCTCTATTATTTTAAAATTAACATATGAAAGGAAATTGTACATATCTTAATGGGAAGAGTTAAGGACTTAATTTTTTTTAAAGATTTTATTTATTTGAGAGACCATGTGCACGTGTCTGTGTGAGTGGGGCAGGCAGAGAGGGAGGGAGAGGAAGAGGGAAAGTAGACTGAGCTGAGTGCAGAGCCCAGCAAGGGAGTCCACATGGAACTGGATCCTATGACCCCAAGGTCATGATCTGAGCCAAAACCAAGAGTCCAACTTTTACCATCCAGTCTCCCTGAGGTGAGGGGTTTAAATAGGATTGTGACAATTCTTTGTAGTGAATAAGGGGCAAATGGATATTTCAAAGGAAGAATCATTAGGACATGATTCCTAATTTGAGTAAAAGGTATGAAGAAGATAGCAGAAAAAGATAAAGGGGAAACCACTGACAAAATAAGGAATGATGGAAGACATAAGGAGTACAATTATTTGTATTCAGAGAATGCTGAAATTAGAGTAATAGTCGTTAATCATATAAGCTGGTGGGGTGCCTGGATGGCACTGAGCAGTGGTTAAGCATCTGCCTTTGGCTCAGGTTGTGATCCTGGGGTGCTGGGATTGAATCCCGTATCCCGCTCCATGCAGGAAGTCTGCTTCTCCCTCTGCATGTCTCTGCCTCTCCTGTGTGTCTCTTGAATAAATAAATAGAATCCTTTAAAAAAATAATATGAGCTGGTAATTAAAAATGGTATTGAAGTTATGGAAGGTCTTGGCCAGACATGGATTTGAGGAGATAAAAATCTGGTTGCCCTCTGAAGAATTTTTTATTGATCGGGCCCCAGGACAGAGCCTTTTGATAATTGAGGAGTGAGGAGGAGGAAGTGAAAGCAACAGGTGGACAGGGAACAAATCAGATAAACTAGAAGAGAAGTAGAAATGTTGGTGTTTCCAAAAACAAGAAAGCAGAGTTGAGGAAAAAAGGAAGTGGCTGAAATTGTGCAATGTGGACCTAAAGGAGGTGGAAGAGAATGAGGACCAACAAGAGACCCTTGGATTCAACTAGAATGAAGTTATTAGTGACTGTGGCAGGCAGAATAATGGTCCTGTAAAGATGTCCTAATCCTTATCTTGAGAATCTATGAATATACTGTTACATGGCAAGGAAGTATTAAGGCTGCTCATCAGATGACCATAAAGTAGAGAAATTATCTATGCAGAAGAATGTCAGAGTGATGTGATTTCAATGTTGAAAGATTCAACCAGCTATGGCTGAGTTTGAAAATGGAATGGGGCCATAAGCCAAGGAATGAAGGTGTCCTCAGGAAGCTGGAAAAGACAAGGAAACAGCCTCCCCTGAAGCCTCCAGAAAAACCATGCAGCCCTGCCAGCACCTTTAGTTTAGCCCATTGAGATCTGTGTCAGGTTTCTGACCTCCAGACCTATAAGATAAGAAATTTGTATTTTAAGTCACTGAGTTTTCTGGTAATTTGGTACAGTAGCAATAGGAAACTAATAATAGTAAGTAGAACTTTGTAGAATTTTGTTGGTGGTGTACTGCAATGAATTTGTTTTAAGATATGACTTACTCCTTAATTAGCTGTTAAGAAAAAATGAAAAGCCAGGATTGTTAACTGCTGATCTATAGTCTTTTTTTAAAAAGATTTTTATTTATTTATTCATGAGAGACATGAGGAGAGAGAGAGTCCGAGACACAGGCAGAGAAAGAAGCAGGCTCCCTGCAAGGAGCCTGATGCGGGACTCGATTCCAGATTCTGGGATCAGGACCTGAGCTGAAGGCAGACGCTCAATCACTGGGCCATCCAGGCATCCCTCTATCTTCTTACCTATAGTTATTCTGAGAATGATATTCCAATAATTTAGTCCCACTAGGGTACATAAGTATTTTGTTCCATCTTTGCTAAACCAAAGACGAGGCTAACATTAGGTGTCAACTTATCAATAAGCTGAGAAATAGTGTTGCCATCCCTTCCTTCTGGTGCTGTTATTTTATCATAGTCAACTACATATACATGCAGCTCAAGTCAGCTAACCAGGTTAATTCATCAGTGACTGGGAAATTAATTATAAAATGATTTTGTACACAGTTACTGAATTCAATTCATTTTTACGGATGAAATTCAGAGCAAAGAAGTGAGATATGTTGGTCATGTTGCTGTTATCCATCTGGCTGGGCTGAGCTCAGAGATCCTTTTACCCCCAATCTCTCTCTCCCTCTCTCTCTCTCTGTTTTGATGTTCTCTTTCTCTTAATTATATTTCTAGATCTAGCTTTGGGATTGGATTGCTTCAGACCTTCTATCCATCTTCAGAAACAGTATGGCAGGTGAAAAGGTGCTAATAGGGCAGCCTGGGTGGTTCAGCGGTTTAGCGCCGCCTTCAGCCTAGAGCGTGATCCTGGAGACCCAGGATCGAGTCCTGTGTCTGGCTCCCTGCATGGAGCCTGCTTGTGTCTCTGCCTCTTTCTGTCTCTCTGTCTCTCACGAATAAATAAATAAAATGTATTTTTTAAAAAGAATAAGGTGGTAATAATGGACAGATAGAAGACTTTTCTCCCTTTTCCATCACTAACAAAAAGCCCCTCAACACAAAATGAAAATTGGTAAACATACACACACACACACACACACAACTAAAACAAAAATCAATGTCATATACAGTTGTAAACTTCTCTATGTATAGTAACTCATTAAATCCTTATCATTATTTTTTGATGTAGGTACATTATTATTGCAGCTAAGATCCTGAGCCACAAGGAGGTTACTTAACTTGCCCAAGTTAAGTACAGGGCAGAGTGGGATGGGGGGCGGTAGGGATGCATGCAACTCTTTACTTCTGTTTAAAACTGTGGTGCTTTTTCTCAAACTTCTTATCTTGAAAAATTTTGAAGGTTCAGAGATTTGGAATAGTAAATGAACATCCATACACTTCCTCTCTCTAGATCCAACAATTGTCAACACTTGCCACATTTACTTTGTGCGTGTGATCATTTGAAATTAGTAGGCATCATGGCACTTCAGCAATCCTTTACGTATGTAAAAGAAATCAGATCTGTCCTATACAAGACTTCTGAAACCTTAATTTTAACTCAGATATCCAGATAATGCAGTACCTCATATTTATGAGAAGCCACGAATAAAGAGACAGGATAGTTGAAATTGTGCAGAAGAGTAAAGTTAGTTCAAATATCTAATAGCTAGTTATGAGCTCAGCGCTTTGCCTGTATTTAGTGCCTTAATTTCAAGATAATTCTATGCTGTAGGTAATCTTACTATCTTCATTACAGATAACCTCAGAGGTAACTTGCCCAAGGCCACCTAACTAATATGTAGCAAAAACCCCATATTAAACTAGGCACTTAAATATATTTTAAAATTTTAAAACAAAGGATGCTCAAGTGTTATGATGCCTATCACCGTAGAGATCACACACACATAAATGGAGATAAGATAAATGTGGCAAATGTTGAAAACTGTTGACTCTAGAGAGTAAGCATAGGGATGTTCATTGTACTATTCAAATTCTCTGCGAACGAAAAATTTCAAAATCAGTTCTGGAGTTTGGTCTTTTCAACTTTGTGCCTTGGTAAATGTTTTGTGGAAAAAAGTATTTAAGGATTTTTGCTAACAAACTTTATTGGGGAGGTCATATTTAGTAGGAAGTATTTACTTGGGTATCCATTTCAAAGCTATTGTCAGTTTTGTTTCGTTTATTATTTTATTTATTATTTTTATTATTTTATTTTATTATTTATCTATCTATCAATCTATCTATCTATCATCTAGTTAGTTAGTTAGTTAGTTAGTTAGTTAGTTAGTTAGTTAGTTAGTTAGTTAGTTAGTTAGTTAGTTAGTTAGTTAGTTAGTAAGTAACACCTGTAACCCAAATCTGAACGGAACTAAAGGTGCAAGGGGACTACCGGGGCTGGAGGCCGAGGAGAAAGGCCGGAGGAGATCGCAGGATGTTGCCTGGCGCTGGCGGCCCAGTGGATTCTGGGAACTGTAGTCTCCCAGTCATCCAGAGCATTCCTGATTAGGGCCTCGGGAGAACCTGCCGAGGCTCCCAGAAGTCTCCGGTGCTGCTCGCTGGGAACGCACTTCCTGGGACGCAGCGAGGGAGACGCTCTAAGAAGCTCCTCAGTGTGGGCGAGTGAAATGTCTTGGACGTGAGAAGCAGGTAGGTGTGGTCAAGAATCCGATTTCTGGGTCTTTTGCGTAAGTAGTTGACGATTTTGTGTAAAACAGCTAAATCGGAGGGAATCAGGGACACGGAAAACTGTTGACCACATCTGCGGACGTGAAGAGGGCATGAGGTATTTGAAAAGGCTTTAAAAATTTTTGCACACAGGAGTATGGAAATGGCGAGGTGTCTAGCCGGAGCGGCCGAGGGCTTGGGCTTGGGCTTGGGCTTGGGCTTGGGCTTGGGCTTGGCTAGCGGGGTGTGCGGTGTGGAGCTGCAAGTTGCTATTTTTGAATCACCAGCTGCTTGTGTAATGATGACCTGCTCGCGGTTCAAACCCACTCAGTGCTGTAGGGATGGGCTTGCTCTGAGAGCGTTGTCATTGTTGCGGTCTCTTTCCATTGGCTCTAACTAGGAGAGCTCCCCCTCCCCCCCACCCCTCCCCACCCCTTTTTTTTTCTTTCTTTCTGCTAGCTCTGGTGCTCCTAGGGACAGGGCTCGAAGGGATGGAGAGGAGAGGAGGGGGAGTGCGGGTTTCTCTGAAGCCCAAGTTGTGTGCAGTAGGCCTCGGAAGGGGCCGGATGCTGCGCTGGAGGAAGGCCAGACTTGCTTGGTGAGCCTACTTAAAATGAAAGCTCAGGGATGCTAGTATGTGGTTTTAATCGTAAAACGATTTCCCCTTAATTTGGAGTGAGTGATTATGCTTGATACCAACTCAAGAAACCTACATTTAGGAAAGAAAAATTATAATTTGAAATCTCTTCTGTCGAGGACCACATTCTACGTAATAATTATAGGGCTAGTAATAAATGCCTTAATCCAGGAAGTTCTCTGGCGTCTATAGGTTTGCATCCTCATCCTACCTATTGTGATAAGTAGTATTTGAAAAGGAAGTTGTTGGTGCTTAAAATAGACTTACAAAAACATTTAAGTGGCAGGTTGAGACCGCTGGTGGAACTAAACTCCAAAAAGCATTCTAGTTGCGAATTTTAGGATGCACAATGCAGATCAACTTAGCCTAGTTTTGTTATCAGTGTCCTTTTAAAAGATACAAAAGAAACAATGAATTTATTTTACTTCTAAGACAACTAACTTCTGCAGTTTCCTTGGGCCTCCTTATTCTTAGTTGTGAATAGGAACTAAAAAATCCATTACATACATATGTGTGTGTGCGTGTGTACACATATATGATTTAAAGAGGTATTATATTAATTTAGGACGTTTTTTCCTATTTCTTTAGGCCCAGATCATCTCTACTGTCTATATTCAGATGTGCATCTATTTCTTCTAAGTTGATTAAAGTTGTTTTACAACTGTGAAGTACCTCAAAGAGTAAGTACATCCTTTGATTTTACTCTCTTTCCTTTTTCCACCATATGTCCGATGACATGTTTTTCTCTTGTTCAACAAAATAAAGTTATAAGATAGACCTCTCTTGAAAGCAATGATTGATGACCTATAGTTTCTAAGAAAACTCAAATTACAAGTAGAAGCCTGCTAGTCTTACCATCAGGAAGTGATATAGCTGCTGTTATATGTGTCTTCTCATAGCTATTCCTGGGATTGTCCCTGAAAAAATTACATAGTGATGGGTCTGTGAATTCCTAAAGCTCTTAGCCATTATTCCGGCCTCGGACTTCTTTGAATGCTATTCAAAACCACAGAACAGTTACCTTTTTGAAAATATTTTTATTTGAAAATGATATATTTGATAATCTTTAACTCTGTACCAAATTTTATCCATCTGCTTCTGAAAGTCACCATGGAACATAGTCAGATGACAAATGTGAAGTGGTTGTTTTGAAACAGAGTCCTTACTTGATTTGGTCAGTAATTACTCCAAAGAGAATTCTCTGTTATTATTGTTATATGGCTATAGTCCTCTGTGATTGATTGCTGAGATCCCAAAAAAAACAACAACAACAACAACAAAAAAAAAAACATGTTTCTAGCTAAAGAAAATAAATAAACCTACTAATAATCATTATAAACTTAAATTTCTTACCATACTGTTTTACAAAAGGCTTTACTATTTATGATCTTATAGCTTGGGGGACATTCTATAGATAAGATATTTGAAGTTCAGAGGACCTTTCCCAGTCTGAAAATGGTAGGATGTGACTGGCATTTGGTCTTTGGTTACCTGGACTATAATACCACTTGCCTCTCTCAGATAGAAGCAACAAGCCCAGATATCTATAGATATTAATCCAGCTTTAGGCTGTTCTAGTTAGTGTTCAAGAGTGGTACTTAAATTTGTTAGTGTGTTTTCAACCTTCCATATTTTCTACAGTCCCCAGTAAGGGATTTTCATATGGCATAAAGAGGTTTATCTTTTTTCTGCATTGCTATATTAAAATATAAATACAAATATAATAAATTGTTTTGCTTTAAAAAGTAGTTTTGTGTTGATAAACAGACATTAATTTGATATATTAACCACTGTTAATAAAGAGAAGGTAGGTATATCCAGTAGTAACAAACCTATTAAGTTGAAAACATGAGAATCAACACAGTTGTAAATGAGTGACTCCTTGACCACTGTGAAAATTAACCAGTGTTGCCAAACTTAGATATGTGTTTCTAGAAGAAGAGTCTTTAGGTAAATACTTGGGAATGGCCTCATTTTTTAGGAGAAGAAAATGAACTTTGTTTTAAAAAATGGGAGAGACTGGCCAATGGAGAGTGGAAAGTGGAGAGGGCATGGTCTAGAAGCAAATTGGAAGTTTCGAAATGCAGAATATGAATGAATGAATGAATGAATGAATGACTGACACTGATAGCAGAGCGGATTTGTAACTTTCTCCCTGGATCCTGACCATCCCATATGGACCTTGTATTTGTTTGTTTGTTTGTTTGTTCACTTATTTAACAAATAATCAAGTGCCTTCTGTGTACCAATATGGGACACAGTGAATAAAAGAAGGCTCTCTGTCCTGGAATTCAGTGTAATGAGAAAGATAAATACTGAATAAGGAATTACGAGCATAATCACTGTTACAAAAGAGAAGGTACAAAGGTGATTTCAGAGCATATAACTGGGGCTGTGGGGGTTGGTTAAAGATAGGGGAAGAGAAGACAGATTTAGAGCCAGATTCCCTGGCTCTAATTTCCAGATTCATCATTAGGAAGAAGAATACCTGTTAGGTAAGCAAAAATTAGACTGGAATTAAGAAAGTTCTAGAAGGAAGAAATAGCATGAAGTAAAGCCCTTAGCCAAATTTAAAAGTGCAAAATTTGAAGAGCTAAAAGCAATATGGCTACATAGTCTGTAACATGTGAGATGGGAAAGTGACACATAAGGAGATTGAGAATTTGACAGGAACCCTTGGTGGGATTTGAAACTTTGGAAACCATGGGAAAATTTTGAAACTTTATTCTGAGGGAAATAGGAAGCCATGGAATGTAAGGAATGTAGTGAGGGCCACCTGACTGGCTCAGCTGGTGGATCATGCAACTTTTGATCTCAGGATTATGAGTTTGAGCCCACATTGGGTGTAGAAATTACTTAAAATCCTAAAAAAAAAAAAAAAGAAAAAAAAAAGAAATATAGTGAAAAAATCAGATTTACATTTGAAACAGTTATTTTGGATTAAAGATTAATTGGCATAGGAAAAGAGTAGAGGTTTTTTTACCCTCTTAATATGAGCAAATCCTAACCTGAGAGTCATTGTTTTCACTTTTAAATCACTAAACATATTCCATCTCCCAACTATCACTATAAAATGATTCTTCATACTTTTAGTGAGATATATGGCTTATCAAATCTTATATATGTGGAGTTAAGAACAGATCATAAAAAGGAAAGTGGCCAAATAAAGTTATAAAGAGCAAGGATATGAATTCCAGCACTGAGGTTGAAATTATCTAAAGATTTGAGGTAATAGTATTTCCCTTTTGAAAAAATGCCATGGTATCCTTGCTGGCTGTGTAAATTAGAACTTTTAGTCATTCTCTGGGATCTGAGCTAAGAATGTAAAAGCAAGTTCAGGGGACTGATATATCTTTGTTGATTTGATGCAGGATAAATTCGAATATACTTGATCCTGAAGTAAATTTTGACCTACCTCTGCTCATTAGTGTTGTTTGATAGTCCATAATCTAAGAACTACAGGAATTTATTTATCATAATAAAGTCAATCATTCTGATCTTACTTCTCTTGCATTCTAGGAATTAGTGGTATTAAGGTGGCTTGATTGGAGAAATCTCAATTATATTGATACTCCCAAGTTTTTGACCCCTATCTTTGAAAGCAAGAGGGAGTTTATGATTGGGTTAAGACTCTGAGTTCATCTCTAAACAATATATTTATTTATTTTTGTTTTTTTTTAAACAATATATTTATAAATAATTGCCACTTTTGGGAATATTGACAGAAGACAACATGATAAGTAGTAAATTAATATTAATGGAGAAACTTAGAACTAATTATGCTTAACTTAAGGACTTTGAAAAATGGTTCACATGGGCTTAACTGATTTATATATGTATGCATACCTATATATTTTATGGTAGTAAAGATATCCCTAGTCTATATGATCAGATTAAATATGCAAATATGTTGTTTTCTAAAGAAAAAACAATGTACCTTCCCATTAAGACACATTTGATCCAGTTTAATATTTTGATCTTTCTGGACCCTAAACTCCTGGAAATGCTATTCCATCATTGCAGGAGGTGGTATTAGACTGTAAAGGATCATGGGTACTCTGAACACATACTGTATTCAGAAACAATAATTCTCAACCTGTCCCTCCTTCATCATGATGTAACTAAAAGAAGTAAAAGTGCTACTTTATTAGTCTACTTTGTTACTTCATTGGGGATGTGATAGAAGGCAGAGAAAATACACTTGAATGGTGTTTGAAGAATGAGTTTCAAATTCTTAAAGCTGAATAAGGTATTGGTCTCTTTATACTTTGTCATATACAGAAAAAGAACAGAGCCTTTTAATTTGGAATGAGAGAAAGCCCTGGCCACTTTTTTTTCCTTTTTCTTACTGTAGCGTTAAAGAGTAGGTTGTCATTACTTTAGGAATTTTTGCATTCATCTATGAGCCATCATGGTATAATAACCAGTAACCACTAGTGTAATAACCTGAAAAGCTTGCAAGTCATCCTGAATCAGTTAGGAAATAGTTAAGCAGAATAATATCAGGGATCTTTGTTCTCTTCTTTTCATTTGACTAACTCAATGCAGAAGAGGTTATTTACATTTTGTAATTATCCAGTGCACCTAGTATGTAGGTATGAGATGCTGCTTTTTCTTATTTAACATTCATTCAGCAGATGTTCTTTAAACTGCTCCAGTGTGCCAGGCACTGAGCTGGTCACTGAGTCCTAAGAAATAGTTAATACTTGAATTGCTCTTATAACATGCTAGACATGTTTTAAGCTCTGGACATTATATTAACTCACTAAATACTTTGTGAGGTAGGTACTGTTATTTTTTCCATTTTAAAGATCAGGAAAATGAATCACAGAGAAGTTTTATAAGCTGACCCACGGTCACTTGGCCAGTAAGTGAGGAAGTGGGGATTAGAACCCTAGCAGTCTGGCTCAGAGTCCTCCCTCAGCCAATCTGCTGTCCTGTAATGCTTCTTTCCCCATGTCTTCATCTCTTATGAGCTGCCTTCACCTCAGCTGCATGCTGGTTTCATTTTACATCTGCATGAGCATTGAAGGCTGAATTTGTGTTGTTTATAGTTGACGGATGATGAGTGCTCTGACCATATGTATTTGAATGGCTGACATAATATACCATATGTGTGTTGAATGAGTGATTATTGACAATTGAGAGACTTTCATATATGGTGTTAAGAGGATTTTAAGTGATTTTGATTGAGTTCCTGGCTCTGATTTGCTGGGAAGTAAAATACTCATGCCTTTAGTTCTTTAGTTGCTGCATAACTCAGCTACTGGTAACCAAGCATGGGTCAGTGCACCTGTGCTCTGAGGTCACATGCACATGTGTTTATGTATGTTCAGATTTACATAGGAAACAGGGACAGGCTTTCCGTCTTTGCATTGACATCATTAGTTGTGCTGCCAATCAGCACCACCTTTCCTACTCTGCTCTTCTTTTGTCCCCTCATGATTTGTCCTCTTGTGTGTCACCCCCCAGTCTGACTGACAGTACTGCACAAGCCTGCCTGCCATGGGCTGTCGGGATGTCCATGCAGCCACAGTCCTCTCCTTCCTGTGTGGAATCGCCTCGGTAGCAGGCCTCTTTGCAGGAACTCTGCTTCCCAACTGGAGGAAATTACGACTGATCACATTCAACAGAAACGAGAAGAATCTGACTGTTTACACTGGCCTGTGGGTGAAGTGTGCCCGATATGATGGGAGCAGTGACTGCCTGATGTATGACACTACTTGGTACTCATCAGTTGACCAACTGGACTTGCGGGTCCTCCAGTTTGCCCTGCCTCTCAGCATCCTGATTGCAATGGGTGCCCTGCTGCTCTGCCTCATTGGAATGTGCAACACGGCCTTCAGGTCCTCAGTGCCCAACATCAAACTGGCCAAGTGTCTGGTCAATAGTGCAGGCTGTCATCTGGTGGCCGGGCTGCTGTTTTTCCTGGCAGGTACTGTGAGCCTCTCCCCATCCATCTGGGTCATCTTTTATAACGTTCATCTGAACAAGAAGTTTGAGCCAGTCTTTACATTTGACTACGCAGTGTATGTCACTATGGCTAGTGCTGGGGGCCTGTATATGACTTCCCTTCTACTGTTTATTTGGTACTGTGCATGCAAATCTTTGCCTTCTCCTTTCTGGCAGCCACTGTACTCCCATCCGCCCAGTATGCATACTTACTCACAGCCCTATTCAGCACGTTCCCGCCTTTCTGCCATTGAAATTGACATTCCAGTTGTTTCACACAGCACCTAATGGGGAAATAGTTCTCAGAGAAAACTTGTAGCCTCACATTTCCCGTATACAAGAACCCATATACATTTTCCTTTGTTTCTGACCAGTCAATGAAGCCAAATTCGTATGTCCAGGTAGAATGAAGTGCTGCTAGTTTTATGAAAAGTACATTATTTTAATGTGAATCATTCCTTTTATCTTGCTTCTTATGCTAGAAGGATTTTTAACCTCTATATTGATACTTAATCAGTTATTCAAGTGGAAAGGGCCTGTGTCTCAGTTGAGGTGATTTAGAGCAACATGGTAAAGTAAAAAATGATGACTAAGAGAGGCTATTGTACATGATATTTATGAGTATTTCAGAATGTGTATTGTCCTTTTTCTATAATACCTTAAACTGGGGAAAAAAGGCAATTTCAAATGTAAGAAATTTCTTTCAGGTAAGGATAATATTTTAACAGTAGTCAGTCTACCAGCTTAAGGCTGTAACTTTTCTTACTTCTCTCTCGGGGCTAATTATATTGAATAGAGTTTCATATTTTGAAGATACTTTCCTTTATGCATTCCTTATCTTCTACCTCATGGCAGTGTTTAAAAATAAAATGCATTTTAAGTGATGTCAGAGAGAATAAGCCTAACATTTTAAATATCTACTAGTATGGATAACATTTAACATAATTTTAAAAGTTAATGATTCTATAAATTGTATTATTAGAGTTAAAATGGGCCATGTGATGGATCGGTGCTTCCCTTCTGAGGCAAAAATCCTTTTTTTTTTTTCTTTTTTTTTTCAGATAGCATCCACCAAGCAGTACTCATGGCCCTCTATAATCTCTTAATGACAAAGAGAAAGAAAGAAAGAGGCCCAAGTGATTTGTTTTTAGACAGTGGTAGGGGACAAGCATCTATTCTTCATTGACAACATCAGAGATTCATTCTAGTGACTGCCTTTTGAATGATGAGTGAAGTAAGTTATGCTTCACCATGACCACATTCACTCTTGATTCAGTTCCTGCCCTCATCACTGATTATTTCCTTGAGCATATAACTTTGCTCAACACTTTAGTGGGTGCTGTAGAGGATATATGAAAAGTATGAGATCTGGTCCCATCCATTAAGATATTTTAATAAAGGGCAGCCTGGGTGGCTCAGTGGTTTAGCGCCACCTTCAGCCCAGGGCGTGATCCTGGAGACCCAGGTTCAAGTCCCACATCGGGCTCCCTGGGTGGAGCCTGCTTCTCCCTCTGCCTGTGTTTCTGCCTCTCTCTCTCTCTCTCTCTCTCTCTCTCTCTCTCTGTCTCTCATGAGTAAATAAATAAAATATTTTTTTTAAAAAAGATATTTTAATAAAGAAGATCAAACTGTTATCTAACAAATAGGGATCAGTCTGACTTAATTGGCAGCTGGTCTTAATTTCTCAATCATTGATCCAGGAATATATTTCAACCAGACATGTGGCTTTTTGGCAGACAGGCTTATTGTACGATACCAGCAATATTCTGGAACTTAGAAATTCAATTCATTGGATCCTTTAGAGCACCTACCCTAGCCTAGACACTATAATAACACTGTATCAGATTCATGAAAATGGGCAAAAATGGTAAAGAAATTAAATTATTCCCTTTTCACCTCTGAAAGTATGATGATGTATTGAAGAGGGAGGAGTAATTAAAATCTCTCTTGTAACGGGGTAATATTTAGATGCAACCACGTTAACACTGAGATGAATGCTTAGAAATTCAGGGATATTGGGTGTTTACCTTATGAATTTGAGCTGCTGACTTAATTGGTATAATTTGCTATACATTAGTACTGTGTTCATAAGGATTTTGTTTTATTAACCATTACAAATTTCACAAACAGCTAGTTGCATGGTAAGCAGATTATTATGCCTCTTTGCAAATCTGGTTATGATTCTGATACTTTTGTGGTTGTAAGTGGTACTTTTTTTTTTCCCTAATTACAGCACTGGTTTATGTATATAGCAAATAAATCCAGTTGTATAATTTTTAAATGCCATCAGTATAAAGCATGCAAAAATACGTTTTTTTTAGTTACAGCTTCTGATTACCTTCATTTCCATTCCTTTTTTTGCTCTTCTCAGATATAGCTAAATCCTGATCACTCCAAGACAATGGCAGGTAGAATTTTGAGACTAATATTAATTTCCTCCTTGCTAATTAATATCAGTCTCACTAAATTTGTCCAGAAGTGTCAAGAATTCTACCATCTTCCTGTTCTTAGTATCAACAATATTAAAGAAAAGTAGACTTAGCCATTAATACACTAGACAGGTTTTAGTCCATGGGATTATAAATATAAATGTGAAGGTTTTCCTGTAAGCATCTTTTGCAGTCTTTTCATAATCCGTAGCCTCAAACTAGTATTTACTATGGATATAGTAGGCAAAAGAAACCGCTGTTTCCCTTATTGTCTTTAATATTTCAGATTTGCTCTCAATAGCTATTCTTCAAAGCCATCAAAGGAAAGCAAGTATTTATAGTTATTTTTAGTAATTTTTGAGCACTCATCAGGCTATCATTGTGATGGGAGATTTTTTGTTGTTGTTGCTGCAAGTTATTAATGTTAAGGGCCTTTTACAGAAGCCAGCTTGGAAACAACCTTAAATGTGGTATGATGCACCAGATTTGGTTTATCCAGCCATGGGAGGAAAAAAAAAAACTCTGAGTTTACTTTACTTGTAATTATACACTATACTAGATGATGTTTGTTGTAAACTGCAATGTAAAACCTCAGTAAAACTGCACTGTACTTCTTGATGTTTATTAAAAGATGTATTTTTACAAGTTTTTGTTTCTATGCTTTTCCTCAATACTTTAAAGTAAAATAGTTTGAGGGGCGCCTTGGTGGCTTAGTCAGTTAAGCGTCTGACTCTTGATTTCGGCTCAGGGTCGTGAGATTGAGCCCCTTGTCAGGCTCTGCACTGAGTGTGGAGCTTGCTTAAGATTCTCTCCCCCGTCCCATACCCCCACCCTCTGCCCACATGCACATACCCCTCTCTCAAATAAATCAATAAATATTTTGAGAAATGTTTCTCAAATATATGTAAATTGAAAAAGATACAGCCCCATTTAAAGCCCTATAGAATAGCAATTGGAAAGGAATTTGAAAACATGGATTTGTTATTCCAGAAGCATCAAGACCCCTTATCCATTTTTAAGAGTAGTCTAGGAATTCACTGGACTGTTTCAGTATTCCACAAAAAAACAATGAAGTTAGTATGCCAGATTTACCTCATCAATGGAGTTTTTTAATGGTCTGTGTTCTTAAAAATTGAGAGCTCTCAAATGATTAAATAGGAGGACGTTTTCTTACTCTTCAGAACATGAGGTTTCCAGAAGAAGTGGTCCTAATGGGTAAGTCACCTTAAGATTTCTGAAGCTTGGGATGAATTTTTTGGATTGCAGCTTTCTGGGATAGTTCTCACATGCACTCCTCACTGAACCCCTGTTCTATGGTAGTATCTTAGATGGAAGAGCCATATGTTGCCCTAGAAATCTGAAGCTGCTTCAGGTTGGGCATCCCCAGCTGAATATGCTAACACCACAATTCTGAGTCACCTCTTAGTTGGACAGGTTCTTTGAAGGTAACTAAATACTAGCGAATCCCTTCATGCTAACCAAATTCACAAGAGACTGGCTTACCAACCAGAAATGATAACTACAGACTACTTAAAACCACTATCCAAGACCTGTTTTTAAAAATACACCCTAAAACAGATCTCCTTCAAGAAAAAAATTATTCCAGTCCTGGGATAGGGAAAGTATAAGACAAGCCCAGCACATCTTGTTCTTTCAGAAAGTAAGGAAACACTCAAAGAATGATGGGGACATGTCAAATTACATAGGAATCAGCTTGAGGTTCCTACTGACCAAATCGGACAATCTGAGCATCAAAATAAATAGTAATGGATTATAAGCTGTTAAATAAGGCAAAACTCTGTGTGTCTATACCAATATAAATGGAAAGAAAGAAAAGCTGTTTGTTATAGTAAAATACTAAGAAATAAAATAGGAAAAAAGACAGGAAAACATCAATAGAACTTTCATCAAACTTTCATTAAAGTTTGATGAAAAACAGGATAAATGTCTTGTAAATACTTAGTCTCAAAATTCTCCATAAATGACTTACTAATTTCAAAGGGAAGAAGAGTAACTTCATAGTGCGTAGGCTTGCCAGACACAGTCTTAACCAAGTGATGAAATTTATCATTGATAATAAGACCAACACTATGCATCTCCTGATATGATGCAGTAAGGCCACATCATTGCTTTGGCGTTTCCATGAAAAATATGTAGCTTGGGTAGCTCAGTGAGTTAAGCATCTGACTTTGGTTCAGGTCATGATCTCAGGGTCCTGGAATTAAGCCTCACATTGGGCTACCCTGCTCAGCAGAGAGTCTGCTTGTCCCTCTCCCTCTGGCCCCCTATCCTGCTCATGTGCTCACATGCTCGCACTCTGTGTCAAATAAACAAAATCTTTAAAAAAAAAAAAAACATATCTTCAGACTAATCTTGCTGAAACTTGGGCAGCTTCTCAGTTCTTTTCCTTTTTGCTTTCTTCTCTTTCTCCTGATCTTCAATTTTATAAAAAAGGCATAAAAACTTACAATCTAAGTTGTCTCCAAAAAATTGCATACAAGTAACTCTTTTAGGAAGGATTTTGAAAAGCTTATGTCGGGTCTTCTGAAAAACTAAAAAGGGAAGATCCCTTGCAGAAGAGATGTAAATCAAAGTCACAGAGCCACAGGACTTGGGTCTTAACGAGCTGTCCCATTTCCATTTATTAGGAAAATATCTTCTGTCCTAAAACATACTGACCTGTAAGCCTAAGGGCTCTCTCCCCTTGCTCCCCCCCCCCCCCAACTAGAGGAACTTTTCTAGAAGGTCATTTCCCCTGTATCTGCTGGATGTCTCCCCACCCTCTAGTTCAGGAAGGTTCTAAATCTGAAGGGCTGTGGAATTTGGGTAGGAAGAGCTCAACTGTAGCCTAGCTAGTATTCATATACAAATCTGCTACTAATGGGGAATTTGGGCTTGTTTGTTGTATTTTGTTTGGAAATATGCCAACTTTCAGACTGTTCTATAAAACAAATTCTTAAGCAAATTTTGAGGAAGAACATGATATGGTGGATGAGAAAAAGAAAAATTTCCTTATTTTCTATGAAAACCCAATGTGCCTGGGTACTGTTAGTAGAAATCTAGTAATTGGGATTTTGAGTGGTCCTTATACATTAAAATTCTTTGTAGAAAGAATATATATTCATGTTTCCAAAGTTTTGTTTTACAGAAAAAAGTAACTTATGCTGCTCATTAAGAGAAAAGGTATTATTGATACTTTAACTGTGTTAAACCTAGTGGCTTCACATCAGGATTCACTCTTTAACAGTTTGAAAAGATACTTATGGTAAATAAATCAAGATAATTCACTTAAATTTAAAAAAAATTAAAAAAATGTTTTTGCCTCTATCCCTATGTTCCTTTTCTTGCTCTAACTCTCAGAACCTAATCTTGTGATCTAGAAGGTCCAGGTAGAAATTTTAGCAACAGAAGACTGCTATAATTAGTGGGGACCCCTAAGCAAGTGCCTAGCAAGCCCACCTTTCACCTTGCTGGCCATGTGGACAAAGGCTTTGGTTTAACTCGCCCCTCATGTTCTAGAGCTGCTAATCTGCTCCTGGCTATTTCTGCTTTAAGAACTCAAAGGTCACATTGAATGCTGGAGCCAGGTGATACCAGCCAATTGTGCACATCTCTTCCCAGCTCTGTATCCCCTGACATCGTGTTGATGGCTTCAAATTGGCCATGTTGGAAGTATGTATGCCACAGAAATTAGCAAATACTACAAGTTAAGGCTTTTCTTTTTTTCTTTCTTTCTGAGAGCTTTAAAACTTCATCTGTGATAAAAGGAATCTCTGAAGAAGACTCTCAATAGGTCTTTCTCCAGTATTGCCCTGTCTTCCTGTGCACCACCAATCCATCCTGTACACAGGTAACAGAATGAACCTTATAAAATGCATATATGGCCTAGCCCCTCTTATACTTAAAATAATTCAGCAGGTACCCTTCAGAACAGAATCTAAGCCCTTGCCTTAAGTCCTAATGGAAGGTCTTATACAGTAATACAAGGTAAATTGAAGAACATAGAGTCAGCCAAAGTGAACTCTCTGGCATAGCACAGTACACAAGAGTTATTTAGAAGGGGATTTTATGGGACTCCTGGGTGGCTCAGTGGTTTAGCACCTGCCTTTGGCTCAGGGCATGATCCTGGAGTCCTGGGATTGAGTCCTACTTCGGGCTCCCTGCATTGAGCCTGCTTCTCCCTCTGCCTATGTCTCTACCTCTCTCTCTCATGAATAAATAAAATCTTTAAAGAAAAAATAGAAGAGGATTTTATTCTCACACCCATAGCTGATCAGACTTTGAGCAATTATTGACACTATCTCCTAAGTCTAATGTGTAACAAAAAATGCAAATTCAATAATAAATGATAAGAAATAGCCCCTTTCAGTGGCTAGATTGGTCACATGCTTTATTCAAGGAATTTATATTTTATATATGATAGAAAGGGTAGCATGATGATAGCTAGCCTTTAAGATGGAGCCTAATGATCCTTGTCCCCCAGTATTCATAACTTTTTGTGGTCCCGTGCCACTGAGCAGGGCTGACCTGTGTTTCCAGTAACATTTTGCAGAAATGATAATACGGGATTTCTGAGGTTAGAGTCATAAAAGACATTGTAGCTTCTGGCTGTCACTCTTGGATCACTTTCTCTGGGGAGGACAGCTGCCATGTTGTGAAGATATGGACAACCCTGTGATTAATATAGGAGGAATTGAGGGGTCCTACCAATAGCCAATACCAACTGGCCAGCCATGTATAAAAGAGCCATGTTAAAAGCAGATTTCCTCAACTCCAGTCAAGCCTTCAGATGACTGCATTCCTGACCAATATCTTGATTGCAACCTGTTTGAGAGACCTCAAGTCAGAATCACCCAGCTAAGCTGCCCCCAACTTTCTGGCTCACACAAACTGAAATAATTCTTATTGTTGTTTTAAGGTGCTAAGTTTTGGGCTTTTTTTTACAGCAATAGATGACTACTACAAAAAGCATAGAGCAAATGCAGAGGACCAACCTTGAAGAGTATTTGTTTTTGTGCTATGAAAGATACTGTGAATTTTCCGTATCAGAAAAAAATCTGTCATGACCCCAGATTCCCTTGAAAAGTGCTGAATATTGTCCAAGTTGGTAAAATAGTCTAATCTAAAGTGTGTATATTGGGAGTGGGAGGTGAGAAAGATCCAAGCTTAGACTGAGTGAAGAGTTCTTTCTAATTTGATTAGGTTGTAAGTGGCTACATTTGTTACCAGAGAAATAAACTGAAGAATAAACATACATATAATTTGGGATAGAAGTTAGATATATTTATAGTCAAATTAATCTGAGGCATATAGTGGTTATATTGTTTTATGGTTACTAGGAATAAATAAGCCATACTTATGAAAAATATATAACTTGTTCTTATCTAACCATCTGAGTACATCCAGCCCTACAGGAAGAAAATAAAACAGATAGTTTCCCATGTAGAAGAGGAAATAGCTGATTCTAAGACTCATCAGGTAGTTGAGTTGACAAGTAATACCTCCCTCTAGTAAAAACAAATAGCAAGACAAAAAGCCTATGGCAGGAGTCCTGAGAGAAAGGTTAAGAGAGGGAAAATTAATTGTAAAGACATTTCATACAGTGAATTTAAACTGGTTGCTCTGCAAAGTGGCCAGATTCTGTG